AGAGAGTCTGGCTGATGGTAACTTGCAATGTAAATGCATGCAACCAGCCTTAAGAAATACAAAATGCACGTAACCAAGTCATGAATGGCTTTAGTTAAATTGCAACTGACTCGTTGTGGGGGTGGTGATAGTTTTGTAGACCAATCGGAGAACAAAGTAATATTGATCTAACATTGACTGTGAGTATCTAGGAAATGACTTCCAAAGCGCAATTTTCACTTGAGTACAGAACTAATATAAGATTTCTTTGGTTTTCTTTTAATTCCAATTTAATTAATTTAATTTTTAGTCCAGAAAACTCGCGCCACATTCTGAACCACTCAGATTCAAAACTAAAACCAATGGCGACTTGCCCCAGTCACATTTTCCTGCTCTTCAGGCAGTTTGCTTGTTTTTTCCGTCGAGTTCTCATTGGCTCACTCCTCGTGATATTTTCCCTACTATGATTGGCTGTTGTGATTGTTTTAGTTATGGTTTAACGACACTCAACCGAGAAGCACCCTAAGATGTTAAACCAAATTCTTCCTTACCATCATTAGGCATAGTCAAAATGGGAATCTGTGTGATGGAGCCATTTCTTCCTTCCACACGTCCTGCGCGCTAGTAAACAATAAAAGTAACGTTAGTTAGATTAAGTCATTTCAGTGACCGGATCTCTCGCTTTCTGAGAAAGACTGGACACTGTACCTCATAAATCGTGGCCAAATCAGTGTACATGTATCCTGGAAAACCACGACGACCAGGAACCTCTTCACGGGCAGCAGAAACCTGCACAGTGAAAAATAAAAGAATATTTATCAATTCCCCTCCCTGTCCTCAATGTATTCCTTAAAATTGTAGCTTGGAGAATTTGGTGTCAAATTAAAAAATAACCCCCTGCTGATATTTCACAATCTTCTCATCGACTGTCTGGTTGATAATGCATTGATATTGTATGGAGAAATTACTTATTGGTCACTTCCGGCAGTGAAAGGGTTAAAAAATAAAAATTCGTCAAAGTGAGGCGACCAACATGTTTTGTGATTTTCACTACGTGGCAGATCTATAATCATTTTCGAAAAGTTTCCCCCCACGTTATTTTGATGCATTGCTTTCACCTATCTAATAGCAACAAAAATGATGCAATTCTCAATCTTAACATGTCGAAATAAAATGTAACTGACCTCTCGCAAAGCCTCGGCATAAGAACTCATGTCTGTAAGAATAACCAGGACATGGTTCTCACACTGATAGGCCAGGAACTCCGCTGTTGTCAGTGCTAAGCGAGGTGTGATGATACGCTCAATACTAGGAAAGTAAAGTCAAAATTCAAGAAAACCATGGCTTTCACCATTTATTACGATATTTTGCGTCACTTCTAACATCATGCACTATTTTAAACTTGAAAACACACACACAAAAAAAACACAAATTCAGGAAGATATAATGAGACAAAAAGAAATGAAAGGGAAGATGCGAATGAAAGCTGAATGATTAAAATTTCCATTATTAAACCAATTTGCAAGATAAACAAACACTGACATACATGTAGCTCGGACGTGGGAAGGGGGGGGAGGGGGAGGGGGGAGGGGAGAGAGACTGGCATTTTAGCATCTCCAACTGAATGTCTTTGTGGACCACAAGCTTTCAACAGTGTTTCAACCGTAGTCAGGGTTATACAAATTTATATGCAATAAGGAAATTTTTTTTTGGTGCTAAACAGGGTCAAACAATCTGAGCAGATTTTATCTTGAGAAAATTCAGAGTTTTTTCAGACCCTTGCTGCACACCAACAAACCAACTTCTCTCAAGCACCCCTAAGGCATAGCTCCTTGTTTTATGAGCCAAGTGAATATCAAGCAGACAAGAGACATGGAAAATAAAAATGTCAATAAAAGGGTTATTAGTTGATCACTACCAAATTCTCTGAACTTACATCATAAAAACTGTAGGACAGAAAGTTAGGAGAATTATCAGTGAGGTATTGCAAGTGAAAGGGTTATAAGAAATAACTTTAACAAGACCCCATTTAAATAATAAAAATATTATTCTCTATAAAATAATCATGGATGATATCTATATTAAGTAAACAAGAAATTCTCTTACGTTGGATCATTGGCAAGATTAAGGAACAAACACACATTCTCCATGGAACCATTTTCTTCAAAGTCCTGCTTGAAGAAACGTGCAGTTTCCATGTTGACCTGATAAGGACATAATTTTACAGAAAATTATAAAAACTGCAAATTCCAGACATATTTTGTATTGTAATCAGTAAAACATGACATTTTAAGTAATTTACTGCCACCAGGGTTTTGGGATAGCAAGCCCAGCAGGAAGAAACAGAAACTGTCATGGAAACAGAGATACAATGTAGATGGGTGACAGACACTGTGTGAAAGCCTTATTGTACATGTATGTGTCACTAGTCACAAACAGGATTAAACAGTTCACCACATTGCAATAAAATCTTTTCCATAAGGCACTTGAATAATTTTTGCTGAAAATATGGAATATTCAAGTTTATGTATATGGATGCCTGATATAAAGCCATAGCCAACAACAGTACTTGAAAAGGTAGAAATCGCATTTGAAATGACTGACAAAATGTAAAACAATAGGTTGTTATTACAAAAGTCTCCTTCCGTCTCTTCCTCTTTTAATCCCCAAACTCTCAGAGTGACTAAAATTAATTTCTCTGTACAGTTCCACGGCTAAACTAAACATTAAGGTTATCAGTATGAGAATAAAGAAATTCTCCTAATCAGTACCACACGAAATTTAAGGAGAACAGTATGGATAATACACGAGTACAAATGCTGGTGTGAAAGGGGTTAATACAAATATTGAGAAGGAAAAAGAGAAAACAGAAAATCTCTAAAATAAAGTACTATGCATAAAGTTGGTACTTACAAACTCATGGTTTTAATTGTTTAAGTAGTTATATCAATGACATATATCTTTTATCAATGCATATAACATAGACAGAATACTTACACCCATAGCAGCAAAAACAATGGCAAAGTTGTCACTGTGGTCATCCATCACTCCTTTCTTAAATTTTACCAAACCCGCTTGCCGACAAATCTGAGCTGCAATCTGACGTGAAGAAAAATGTAATATACAGATGTGAGGACAATTTAAACTATTGCAAACAGATAAATAAACACATTATTTAGCTGACTATTCTTGTACACTTACATCATTGTGAGGCAAACCTGCAGCAGAAAATATGGGGATCTTTTGACCACGAGCAATGCTGAAATAGTGAAAACAATAACACAAAGAATCAAATTGAGAAGAATTCTGTGAAAAATTAAGAATGACATTTTATGCTTTCAGTTATCTGTGTTGCTTCTGCAGGCATTTCAGTGAAACTGCCCCCAAAAATTGTCTTAAACTAAAAACATAATCACATCCAAAGACAGTTGTGAAGCCAACTACCATGCCAAAAAACACATGTATATGTTTCTGAAGTCTAACCTGTTCATTGTATCAATAGCAGAGATCCCAGTTTGAATCATTTCTTCAGGGTAAATTCTGGACCATGGGTTAATTGGTTGACCTGTGTTTGAAGTAAGAAGTCAAAAAATCTTTACAAGTAATGATTTAATAAATTTTTCTATCATCCAGCAAACTTGACACAAATAAGTAAATCAAAATTTTAACATTAAAGGTTGTACCTAATTTCTCCAAGAAAAAAAAATGAAGAGAAAAAAATAAAAAAACAGTGGTAATACCCAAAGATATCTAAAAACCCACACGGAGCTAGTGTGAAACTTATAAATCTATAAACACTTATGGTTTCATTCCAACAGCTCAGTTGTGTATTTTTGACTGGTCAGGCTAATGTTCAAGAAAGGCAAGCACATCTCTAAACCACACACAGCCTTCTTTTTGCAGTTGAATTTTTTCAAAATAAATGATACTTTGCTCATTTCCTTAAACACAATAACACTCCTGAAATACATTTTAAGTACAAGGTTTTCTGAGTTTCATGGTAGAAATGCTGAAGACGGACAAGAAACACAGAAACACCACCTTGAATGTCCAAAAAATCTTCTGCCATGACGGCAGGTCCTCTATCAATTGCCTTTCCTGACCCATTGAAGACACGCCCTAAACAAAAAGTATGTAATGGATGCAAACATTAAGACCACAGCCCTGCATTTGTGATTAGACATAATTTTCTTACACTGCTCAAGCTCTAAAGCAAGAATATTTTACTTTTAGTGAGCAAATAAATAAACAAACAGTTGAGTATTTTACTAGTTTTGGATTGTCAAGGTCGTTTTAAATTTTATAAGAAACATATTCAAAATGCATAAACTAAAAACCTATTAACTGAGTTTTTGGTTGGGTTGAACGGGAAAATATTTGGCTTAGGGTTATAGCCCATCTACAGACTAACAAGGTCTTTCTACAGGGAAAACTTTTTTTCTTCAAGTCAGAACAAGAAACTCATAATTCATCGAGAAGAGTGACTCACTTTCTCATTAGTTTAATTTTAAGTTGAAGTCCACAATTTCAATTCACATTCTCAAAAATTGAAAAAGAGGCCTGTGATTAAGTGCAAGGCCTGACTGCTTCTTCTGAAGTGGCTCACATCAACCTGTCTGGTCCTTCACACACCAGCTCTCACTATGCTTTTCTATGGGATTACATTTGCCAGTCACTTGAACAATACATAAACAGATCTATGCTACCTACCCAACATATCTGATGACACAGGAGTCCGTAAAATATCTCCAGTAAATTCACATGTCGTATGCTTAGCATCAATACCAGAAGTTCCTTCAAATACCTACATGTTTCAAACAAGAGAGTTTAAAAGCATGCTGGTACCAGTATTGCCAAAAATTTAACATAAATGCTATTGAAAAATACCAAACAATATCTGTACTGCAAATTCCAGCTCAGCTACAAGTTCATGTACATGTATATCATTCAGGCTAAAATGAATCTAAGGTCAAAATGGTTTCAAACTAATTTGATTCAACATCCCTAGTCTTTAATGTACAATACATCATCATTATCCTTAGACAAAAAAAGAAAAATAAATGCACTTAGTCTTAATTCACTCTAACCTACAGTCATTTTCACCTCCAACATAAACTTTGTTCAGTTAAGAACAAAAACTGGTACATGCACATGTACAGTTGTATTAAAAAAAATTGTTTTTTGTCTGTGGTGAGATTCCAGTTTAACCTTCTGTTGAAGTACAAACCAATTTACAACAGATTGTGTGAATAGCCTACAGCATTGAATTTGAACACAAAGTTTAAAACTGTCAGATGCACCATTACTTTTAAGTACCTGCACCACTGCTTTGGATCCACTGACTTCCAGGACCTGACCACTTCTTTGTGAGCCATCTTGTAAAGTTAAAGTAACAATCTCGGCAAACTTTGGAAACTAAGGGAAAGTAAAAGCAAGGTTGTGAAATTCTTTTAGGCTAAATCTGTTGTTATAGTTTCATTATACAATATTTTCTGCCTTTTTTTATTTATTTGTGACGATCAAAGTAGCCCCATGGTTTGCTCAGTGGATACCAAACGAACAGGTGTGAGTTTATGCCTAAGCAGTTCATTGTGTTGCAAACCTATAGGATCTCAAATTCCACAGAGAACAATTTTTAGGTTCTATGCCCTGAGACTATGGGAACCCATCTTTAAGTTTTTTTTGGTTCCCCTAAAATTCATAGAAACCTATTTTTTATACTGTATCTTTTATTTCAAAATACAGGATGTTCAGTTGTTGTTTAAAGTGAATTAAAGAGGAACTTGCATACTTTTATGACAAAAATAGTCAACATCTTTGGAAGTGTCTATGCACTGGAAACCATAATGATTGCTAAATGAATGTAAACAAGTCCCACTCCCAGTAACATACAATGCACCATGGGAATGATACTAGAGGGTGGATGAGAGAAGGTAAACAACAGATCTAGCTCTGCATATAAGCACATTTAAAACCAAAGAATTGCTCTGCTACTAAAAAATCAGAATAAGAAAAACACTTTTGGATCTGTATGGCTATGAGAACCTATTTTTTGGTTCTTTTATTTTCAGAACATGGTAGTAATGTGGCACTGGAAACTACTCTTACTGTGAAATCCAAGGGCTTGGTGTTGTGTTCACTTTACTCTCACAATACTCTCACTATACTATTTTCACCCAAGAGTACAAAATAATGAGTTCATGGTCTAAAAAGGTCAGAGAAATGTGACGAAACTTTGAGGGAAAGGAGAGTGGAGTGGGTTTACATGTGGCACCCATCAAGATTAGAAGGCATACTCTTGGTCAATTAGTGCTACAGAAATTAAGAATGGGCACTAGGAGGTAGGGACCATATGGCTTTTAGGCCTAAAATGATCATGTAGACTAATACATGTTTTAAAATAACTAATCTCAATACAAATTAAGTTTATACTCAGAGAACAGAAAATCAAATGAGAACTCCCAGAAATGAATTAATTATTTCATTTCTTCATTTAGAACAAAACTGCCGCCTGGTTAGCTCAGTTGGTAGAGCACCAGTCTGCTGTGCGGGAGGTCGAGGGTTCGAGCCCCAGACCGGACCAACACTCAGGGTCTTAAAATAACTGAGGAGAATGTGCTGCCTTTGTAATTGTACCAGCAAATGGTTAGACATTCAAGTCTTCTCGGATAAGGACTATAAACTATAGGCCCCGTCTCCTGCATCTTCAGTGTTACATGGTCAGCAGGGGACATTAAAGAACCCACACACTTGTCGAAAAGAGTAGGGGGCGTAGTTCCCAGTGTGGTGGTCTATCTGTTGTTTCATTGTACATTTCATGCATGGGCTGGGTGGGTGAGTGAGATCAAATATGGACTGATAGCGGCAGCCAGAGGCACCTTTACAAGCTGACGTTCGATCTCACTCAATTAGAATTGTAAACCGCCTTCAGACAGTATGTGATATGTGCGGTATATAAATACACATTCATTCATTCATTCATTCATTCAAAACTACAAATTCTAAAAGTAAATTTTGAACCTATTTGAGTTAAGGTAGAAGCACAGCTTAAAGATACAACTTCTACCAGCCTAACAAAAATGCATCTTCTTTCACTCTTTCTTTTTTTCCCATTAAGTTTTTATAATAAAGCAGTGTGAATGCAGAGTGGGACCAGCTCACCTCAGCCCATTTGGCCCTACACACATCAACTTTCATCTAAAGTTTTCTAAGAATTCTATTTACAGGGCTGTAGGGTTGTATGGTTAATCACATGACAATACATTATAAACATTGAGGATAAAAATCCAGATTTATGGCCCACACACCTCTCAGGCATAACCATGAACAAAAACTGATCTTGTTAGAATCATTCTCCCACTAAACATGTTAATATGTTGAGTTAGTCCCATTGGGACTCCCCAAAAATTTATTAGTAATAAATAATTCAAGTTTTGAGGGAGAGAATTAGAAATTCTGAAAATAAATGATTAACTAACTTGAAGTCAAGTAGAAGCACAGCTCTGAGATAAATCTCAGACAGCTCAATCAAATTAAAAAATGGAGATGTATTGGCAGTTTTATACTTTAAGGAAGTTCTGATTGAATTTTCTGCCCTTGGTAGAGAACAAAACTGATGTAATCACATGAAAAATCGTTCTGCACAAAAGATCATAACTGGTCAAAAGATTATGTCTGGATATGTGTTACAAATAATTCACAATTGGTTTGTATAAAGGAACTGAAATGAATCGACAAAAACCTTGCACATGACCAAATCGAACCAGGACGAGTTTCGGCTGAGCTTGTGTCCAGGCATAAATATTTTAAAAACGCAAATTAAATTCAGAACCCGGGATCGATCGCATCAAGGTAGAAAGCTTCAGCTTTTGTTGAGCCGTATTTACCTTCACATCATCCAAGATCACTAAAGGACCATTTACTCCTGAAACTGTTTTGTACGCTGGAAAGCAAAAGCAACAAAAATTACGATCAAATGTGACTTGCAGAGATAAGCGTGAGACGTGTAAACTTCATCGATTTAAAACAGAAAGAGGGGACGAAAAGGAATCGAATTGCACATGACGGTGCTCTTAGATAATTCAAAGTAACTTACTCAATCTTGGCTGTGAAATATAGTTCCTTGTTACAGCGGCAGCGTGTTCTTTGGCGACTCCATTTTCACCCGTTGTCGGCGCCATCTTGGAATATAATTGGCAGCATTACGTCACGTCACATGACAAATAATTTTAGGGTATGAGGGTCGAGTATGAAGTGATTGAGATAAAGAAAATTCGAAGAGTACAAAAACTACCCGGGTTACGCGAACCGTAAATTATTTTCCTCTTGTAAACAGCCCCAATGGTAGAGCAAATACCAGTAATGAACAAATGTTCTCTTAAATTTATTCCAGAACAAATGTTGATTTTTTTAACTACACTTTTTTTTATCAATTTTCATTTTGTATTTTTAATTTTTTTCTTTTTCTTTTAGGAACACAATAGCAATACGTGTTAAAAGCAAGAGACATTACCCTCTCTTGTAAAAAGATATTCAACAAAAGCACAGTCATTCATCGAAATTTATTTTCATTACTAGTTCGTGGTCCATAGTCTTGCCAACCGAACGTCGGCTGAAAATCTCGCACTTACATCTTGTGCGATGCTTTAATAATTAAAAAATATATTCATAAGCCTTGTGCTTGTTTGATTTACTTTTTTATTCAAAATTCTTGTTAACCTGGTATTGAACCAGCCATTTTTCCCAACCCATACTGATGTTATAAGGAAAGATCAGGGCTGAGACTGAAAAGTTGGAAGAGGGGGGCAGGGAGAGATATCAAAGGCCAGAGCTTCCAGGAGAAACGTGTGGGTAAAAACAGAGAGACAAGGGAGTACACGTTTGACAAATAGGCCAGGGTAGGGGGTGGTGTGGGGATTGTATCAAATCTCTCAGCACCGCATAACCTTCCTCCCCGTCACGCCTCACAGCTCGACGAAATGTCCAACTGATAGAATAGTTTTTGGCAGTAAGCAAGGGAAACTAACAGTGACAGAATGATCAACAAAGAGCAGTCTTGAACAACACTGAGTTGTGATCGTTTTTGGTGTAATTTATTAATCCATAATTAATCCCTAATTATACCGCGAGGTGAAAAGAACCGAATGCGTATAGCTGAATTTTCTTTTAAATTTGATTTGGTTGAGACAGAAATAATTGGTGGAAGGAGCTTTAATTCTTTTAAAAATTAATTTTTAAATATAAGGGGAACCAGTCAATTGGCACCAGTAGATTGCAAGATTTTGTCTCAAGGAACATAATGAAGCATGCCTCTAGCACACGCTATCGCAAACTGACACTTTTCTTCCTGTTTCAGTGTCTCCTTCTCAAGATAACGGTTGTCCAAATTAACGATGGGCTAAGTTGATCCAATTTACTAAAAAAATATCAAGAGGTGTTAAATCTTGGCGGGCTCTACCGCAAATGGCAATTAATTGAAATCTATTCAGTGAATAAATGTAAAAATCGAATCAGTAGGTGTGTTCTTTGTTTTTCTTGTCGATTTTTTTTCGATGCTTCTTAGATGCCAGCAAACGGGCACAGCTCTCTCGATCCAAATCCAGTTCAGTTATGTAGCTCTACGAAAATAGCTGAAGATGTTTGACTAACAAACAGACCATTATTCCATGGTCTAGAAAGAGTGACAGAGAGGGAACAGAAATGGAAAAGATAATAACATTCGGACTGAAAAGTCGTCTTTCACATGTTTTTCAGTTTGATACAAGAGGCAATTTAAAATGAGATTTGCAAACATGGTCAAGGCTATCTAAGATCTTTTCTTAGTAAAGGTTAGGCGCTGTGTTTTACATTATTCTGGGAAGATCCGGCTCATTCATCAATATAAAGAATGTATTTCAAAAATGAACGACAAATGTTAATCGTGTCGTTGTGTATTAGGAGACAATTTATTTGTTTGCATTACAAAACTTTTTTATTTCTGACGTAGGCCTGTATGGTCTAATCTAACTAAACATTTCAAATTGCTTCTCTAAAACATGAGAATCATATAAAACTGCTTTATATTACTATCTTCGCAACTAAAACACAGTTTCAGAGAGAAAACATGCTGGACATATGTTTGCATTCAAATGCTGTAGCGACTTGATTCGACACGGATTGCTTTGAAATGCAGTTCATAGTTTTGTATAGAAGCAGGGCACCTCCCATAAAAAAAAAACTTGGAGGATTTCTTTGAAATAAAAGTGATTAAAATCACAAAAAGTAAAACAGTGAACAGAGAACAGTAGGAATTCAAAAGAGAAAATCGAACAAAGCTCATGATCAAGTCTTTATTCAAACAGGGGCACGTGTCTCTTTAGTTAATTTTAAACAATACAAGTTTAATCAAGATCGTCTAAGCATCAAACTGTTTTATGGACTTAATATGATAGAAGGAAGCCTTTCATCCTTCAGATGTGTGCGGAATGATTTTTTATTTTCAATTAAAATCACTCGGAATGGGCGTAGATTTAAACATGCGTGAAACTAGAAATTTTGTGGGCAGAAATAGCTTACTTAGCCTCTCACCTCTGAGAAATACGGACAAGTAATAAAAAATGTAATAAGGCATCGAATTATCGACTCAAATAAATATTGACTTTTCATTCTTCTAAACTAAAAATAGGCGGGTTTCAACAGACATCAGTTTTCCCGTTATATGCGTGATTTACTTGCCCCAAGGAAGACTTTTCCTGAGCGCGTTTCATTTTCTTCCGCTTAAAACAAACTGATAAGCATGGAAAATAGTACTTCTTCTATCTTACCACAAACTACGCAGACGGGTAATCGATTTGCTTTCATGTCGATTTTATGAGTAAAGAACTCTTGATCACACGTGCCGCAGTACTTCTAGAATCACCTGCTGGCTGCGGGTACATAGTGTAATCCACACACGGTCGTCGATTGCCAATAAATTCATTTTCGCCGTTTACTATATTGTTTTCATACGACGCCCGCAGTTGTTATTAAATCATCAATTACTCTGACACTTTACAGATAACCTCATTTCTTTCAGGACTGCTCAATTTACTCCTGCTAAGATTATTGGTTCGTGCCGCACATCAAACAATTGTAACTGATTGTGTATTTGCGGCAGTTTGTCAGCTATTCTAAGCTCGTAAGAAGAATATTTATTTCCTGATGAAAGTCGTTTCGTAAGTAATGAGTCCACTGCTTTCCTTTTACGGTCATTTTAGCTGCACTTAGACACCGATCTTTCTCAAAAGAAAGAAAAATTTTCGAAATGATATCTTCGTTCTTATCGTTATTCTTGATTAATTGCCTTTCTTCAGAGTTCTCAGCGTGGTCGGTTTTGCTTGCTTTCGATGGATACTTTTGTGATCACTCTGTTTGCGTTTAAAATTTCCATACGATACCGCCAATCTTTATGAAATAAATTTAATCAGCCATTAAAAGTTGTTCTTTTTATGAGCTACATTAAGAATTATTCACATTCCGAAATGTCTGGTAAAATTTGGGGTACATGATGGAATAGTTTTCAATCTCACATATTTATTTACAGAAGAACAAACATCAGTGTAGGAGGTTACGAAGGCCAACATACTTACTGAGAGAAATTGTCAACACCTTACCATACTTAGCGGCGTTCTTTCATCAAATATCTTCAGGAAAAATAATGTAGTAATCTCTATAAGGATAAGCTTTTAATGAGAACCTACTCGGGTTCTTGTACAGGTCTCACAATCACTAACTACACAAGTAAAAAATTCAAAGTATTCCATTTTTTTTTTTTAACTATTAAGTAGGAGAGAAACTTCGTTGCGTAAAACGAAGTCCTCTCCTACTTTATAATTGGTATAAATTAATCTCAAAAAGCATTAACCAGTTTATTGATTCCGTTTTATTAGATTAAAACAAAAAAAAACTTTCACCTTGCCTGAGAATAGGGACTACCACATTTCCACGCCAAACTGGCGGCAACCATTAGTGCTTTTGTTCGAAACTCAATTTCCAGACTCCCTTTACAGCGCATCCGATAATTAGCGCCGTTTTTCGAGGATATTGCTCTTCTACGGTCGTTATTACAACCAAACGGCTCTTTAATAAGCGCGCTTACTTGTTTGCTTGCAAACGAGCGCATTAAATTATTTACGCCAAGTGTGCGAGTGATGTGGGCTGCAAAGACGATCTGAATTCTTCAGCGCAAACTTCTGGCGCACTCAAATGGCAAATCTGCCGAGGTAATCTCTCTTCCCTTGATACGTGACTTAGATTGAAAGTGAAAATACAAATAAAGTGACAATGAATCAGAACCTGGAGCATGTTACTTAGTTTTTTTTTTAAGCTTTTCACCTGCACTCCTTTTCCGTTAAGGGCGATTAATTTCCCATGAAATTTCTGGCACTTGTTTCGCACCCACATACGACTAGCTAATGAAAGAGAATGATTTGATTTCTAAGAAGTGTATTTTTCAAATTATGACCATCTAAATTGCATGTTAACTATTCATTATTTTAACTTTTTGGCAGACTGTCTTTTTTTCGATAGAAAGAAAGTACAAATACACAAATAAGATTGCCTTTTCAACGTAAGTGCACGATTTCGTTTTTCGTACTTTTCAGAATAGGTTCCCCGATGACTTTGGACAACCTGCTGACTTTAAGTGCAATTACTATACAATTTACAATGAACAACAACGTCCTTGGGACAGAAAAGAACCAAAGAACAAAATATTGCTGGTGTAGATTAGACAGTGTTACATCCGATCTTCTGATTAAGTTATTATTACACACAGCTCAATGTACACAAAGACCAAAAATGATTATTTCTCACTTAATACAGTAATATCCGTTTCCATTTATTCCGTATATTGACCTAAGCTTAAATAAAAGACGCACTTATAAACGCATTTAGCTCAGAGTTACCGAGCTCGGCTTCATCCAGAACCGTCCCAAAAGGAGATAAAACCAAGAAAAAACAACAGTTGAGCCTTCATGATGTCGACAAACTTCTTTTACTACCGATGTCCTTGTCCTTCGGCAGATTGTAACGGGGCCATCTGTAGATATCAAGACATCGTAGCCGCGCCAGTTCAGAGCCAATATACGTCTCCATCCTGCTCACTTTTCGCGCCCGAGAGGAAGCTTTTGACTTATCCAACCACCACTAAGGATGTAGCAAGCCCAACGGGGAAATACGAGTCCATATCGACCCCGATAACGATCGCACGGGACAACTTTCGGTGGACGCCATACCCAAGTCAAAGCAGGGTCACTCAAGAAAGTTCCTCACCGCCCAAAACAACCTCTGAGAGACGTAAGTTGGTTTCTTTTGCTACTTCACATCGAGTTGGTGTCGGGGGTAAAAAATGTCCTAAGTATGTCATAAAGTGCATTAGCACTTAAAATCTTACAAAAAGAGAAAACGAGGAAAGATTTTCTGTCAAATATTGGGTTAAAAGTTGGCAAAAAGAATCAATTTTCCGTCCTTTCAACTTCCAACCATATCGATAAGAAGGTAAAAATTCAGTCGATAAATTTGATCCTAAGTGTTAAGTTACGTAAGGTCAACTTACTGCATCCATCGCCTGGAGAACGATCTATGTTTTTTTATGAGTTTCGCAACTGTTCCGAAGTTTCTTATCTAAGATAAGTTTCTTATCTACATTGTACGAGCGCTATTGCGATCACGATATTCCACCAACGGTAAAATTTTCGAGTATACAGTCAAGAAATTATCAGCCGGCATTATGTTTCTTCTTGTCTCGTTGACTGGAAAGACACGTCATGAAGGAATAAGTGGAACTGCTAAACAATCACTGGTACCCATGACGTTTCAAAATAACTAGACCTGATGTAGTTTTATCTGTTCACTTGTAGCACAAAGTAGCACATCTGCGCATCAAGGAGGCCAGAAGACGACAAGCCGAAGGACACGCCGCGTTCGAACCGCTTTCACACCATTTCAGCTTCTTTGCCTTGAGACATCATTCGAGAAGAACCACTACGTGGTGGGCTCCGAAAGGAAACAGCTGGCATCATACCTTAAGCTCAGTGAAACACAAGTAAAGGTGTGGTTCCAGAACAGAAGGACCAAATGGAAAAGACAAGCTTTGGAGAACCGGGCGGACCTCAACAAAGATCCTTTGACACCATAAAGGAGTTGAAAAAACCTGGCCAGTTCAACTCTTTGACTTCTAAGTCAAGTAATTCTCTCTTTAAGCTGCCATAGTTTACTCTTTCTTTAATTGAGAGAATTCCAAGATAATCACACTTTAGATGATAAGTTTTTCTTGTCTCGTCTTTGCTGGATAATGTATAGGTATTGTAAGGAGAAGTAAAATTGTAATCAATTTGAGGGTTTCTGTGGCTTGTCATGGGAGTCAATCATCGCAGTCAGCTTGCAGTTAAAAAAAAGTGATTTAACCCTTTAACTCCCAGAAGTGATTGGCATGTAACTTCTCCCTATAATATCCATACATTAACCTGCACACAGGTAATAAGAATATTTAAACTAATCAGGTGGAAGTTGTTATCTTGGTCCAACACTAAATTCTCTTATCTAATTTATAAGGAGATGTGTTGCAACGAGAGGGGAGAATGAACAATCAGATTTTGGGACTTAAAAGGGTTAAGCACAAACCAGTGCGAGTTTTTATATTCGATTGTCCAGGGTCGACTAGCACATTGAAAAGTTTATTTTACGACCAACTTGAGTTTTCCGCATAACTGTAACTATGCCTGGCTAAGATTCGCCTCACAATGTACCTGTTTCACTGTGAAAAATACCTTTTAAGATAGAAAATTGTAAAACACCACTCGCGTATCATTTAGCTACGTGTAAAAACCACTGTAAAACTGCGTCATTTTGTAGATAAGTTCTTCGTATTTTCCCTTCCTTTTTTCGGATAAAGGGGAATACAACCGCTGTACATAATCTGCTCGGCTGCTCGATCATCACAAATGTGGTCGAATTCAAACCTTTACTAATTCATTTAAATTAAAACACTTTATTTGGTATAAGATTGTGTATGGTTCTTCACTCTACGAGGAAGATTTTCTCAAATATTTTATTTAGTTTTACACCTTTGCAAAAGGGTCTACTGGCAATACTGTGTTTCCTTCCATTTTTCCTTACAGTAAGATAAAACGCTGATATAACCTAGAGAAATAAAATTAATTAATCTTGGATTAGTGGTAACCGTCTTTCGCACAACCTTGTAATGAATATAAAACGTTTCTGGCGATTGTTTTCGTTCCCGCCTCATTAAAATGTGGGAAATTAACAACCATTACTGACCAATACCGTAAGTGCTGGCTCCATACTCATGACCACACTATGGCCATATCCAACGAGGTCCTTTTCTCTCTGAAAGGCCCCAAATAACTCCCATGGACCTTTCTCGTGGGTATCCTAGGCAAAAGGACACATAGCGCACCTCATCGATCACACGGTCCCTATTACGGTGTTGATGTCCATGCAAATGTACCTTCGAGCCAATCTTTCTGATTTGCTCTTCTATGGTTTTACAACCTGCAAAGCGCGTAAAATTAAACTGGATTTGCGATCCTTGGGCTTTGGGATTGTCTAACTGCGGGAGGTGTAGTTTTTTTCTCTCATCTTGGACTCGTTCGATGTCCTCTTCTGAAGCAGGGATGAGTTCACCACGAGGCAAAAAATGACTGAAAGATATAATTGGCGCGTCGTAATCCCTTGTTAAAATGTTTTCGTTGAGTTTAGCAAAGTACTGAGCAACAGATCCTTGAAGCACAGGCCATTTACAGAGATGATTATCCATCCAGACCTTGTTGGACAGTTCTGCATCTTCAGTGTCCCTTCCAACAAATAACGAGTTATGGAGGTCGTCCTCTGGTTTGGCATACCAGGAAAATATTGGCACAACCCAGGCCGCGGTATCGTTACAGCATTGCACCTTTACTGGTTTGGTATGAACGCCAATCGAATCACACATAGCCAAGATTGCGTGGAATTTATCGATGGAATTGTTGTGACAATAGGTATTTTCTACCTGACGAATCCAGAGCTCGTGGTTTCCTGAAATAAAAAAGATGTATACACAGTCGGTAGGGTAAAAAAAAAATACGAGAAAAGCTTGAGAGTAAATTGAGAACACGAAAATCCCTTACTAAAAAACCAAGTCTGGAGAATGGAATAGCAATGATAATGATAAAGCCAACGTGAATTCCTTCGAATGAGGCATGCAAAATAAATGTCTGGTAAAAGGGGGTATCCACCGTCCCCTCCCTGCATAAAAAATAAAGGTTAGGTGTGGAAGTGACGCGCACAGATCCTCAAGACTAGCCTGTGCAGCTGGATGTTGATGGGAATTTTGAACAATTCGACTTCTCATTTGGATCTGCTGCTCCAAATGCACATTACTGCCTGAGCTCATCTAGTGTCTTCATACCATGTATTTAACTCCTAAGTGGAGACAGGCTCACTAACACAATAGTCATGGTCGATGATAACCTCTGCCATGATCTCAGTCAGTGGAAGGTGTGAGAAAGGGTGGCACCTTTTCTCCTTTCCAAACTGCCACCAGTTTTTGCTTGCCCTATCTTACAACCCTCTTCCCTGACTGAGAGCTTAGCATAGGGTAGGCCAGGACTTGCAACTGGACATATTAGACCAGATGGATGGATGTTAAGTATTTGCCAAGGTTTCCAACTAATTTTTGTAATTGTGCAAAATCCTCATCTATCCCTACTACACCTAGGTTACAGTTACTGTATCTCGTAAATAACAGGCTCTGCTCTACTGTTATATTGATAAAATAGTTGTACAGTCAAACCTCTGAGTATGTACAATTCCCAAAAATGGACACTTGGGTATAAACACAAGTTTCTTATGTTCTCACAAACCTTTGACAGATACAGACCCTATCTCATACAGACAACAGACACATTCTCTTGTGGAAATTAAATCTCAATCCCAGAGAGAGAGAAAACTTCTAAATCTCTTTTCTTCTTACACGCTGGTAATCAGGTGATGATAGCATGTGTATGAAATACAAATTTATGTTTACAAATACAGAAACATAAATGCTTCATTAACAAGAAACTTAGCCCAAAATAAAGAAAATACCAAAAATACTGATTAGAGAACCAACACTTCTTTGATATTTTACTCTGGTAAGATATTTCTCTCTGAGTAAAGTACTAAGATTTCTTTGATATTTTACTCTGGTAACTGATATCTGCAGTTGTGAACCCTTCCAATCTTTAGGTGCAGCATTACCTTTGGTGTTTGTTTCATTTTCTGTTAGACAGTGTCCACATTTTTCTTTTTTTCTCAACAACACAAGTATTCAAACCTGTGCCATCCAGAGACTAGTTGGGCTCCATTATCACCTGAATTACATGTACAAAGCTACATGCTTGGAGCAAGGCAAATTTTAGTGGGTTCTTTGCTCCAGGTTAAATGTAAAATCAAGGAAACATTACATTTTCCACGGTTTTATCTGTTCCCAGTGTTTTTTTCCTATGTCTCCCCTATGCAAAAGAAAGGCAAAGTACTCTGAGATGGATGTTGATTTGTATTCTCCAATGAGTCTGAGAGCTTGACTGTGATGAAATTAAATGACCCCTAACAAGAAGATATACCATTTCTAAGAAAATACATATTTCTTTACCAGTGCAGCCAGGGAACTAAAACTTTCTAACATTCAGTGATCTATTTTTCAAACTTCTTTCTTCCCACAAAGGATGCACTGTCACTAAAGATGGAGCCAACTTAGAAAATTGTACTTTGGCTCTGTGGATTACAGAGCTCATCTGCTTCCATTCACTGAGCCACATGATTGTTTGTATAGTTATTGGGATTCAAGAGTTTCCTTTCTTTGTATCAGAGAGGAAGAAACATGAAAATCAAAATTGATGGGTAATTTAAAACCAAGAAAATATTTGGATAGAAGAAAAAAAAATGACCTTATTACATGAAAGAATCACACAGATTCAAGCCATTTTACATGCAAGTTCAAGTTGAGGATTACGCCATCTTTGACAACCTGTCCTATGATTGGGGCAAGGAAGACACAGGAGCTTAACAATTAGCAGACAGACACAACTTTATCCAAATTAAGATTTTCAAAGAAAAATATATAGCATATTGATAAATGAAGTACAAATAATTCATAATGAAAATGTAAAGTACACACTTAAATACTTGTCACCTTATATGCTACAATAATTTAAACTAAGATAAATTAAAACTAATTTTTGAATAATGTGAAATGTATAATTTTACAGTCATTTTTTAAATCATATGCTGTAACTTTTTTCACTTCATTACTCTATATGCTGCTTAAAGTTTTTCAATTTTAATGTTTCAATAACTAGCAGTGTCAGATGCAAAGGAACATCTTCCACATTTCATGGTTTACACATCTAGTCCTGGTTTTTTGGAGGGTCGGATAGGACTATCCATCAGATAAATATGTGTCCAATGGATAGCACAGTTAGTTTTGTTAACACATATATGCTGGATAGCAGTTTGTTTGGTTTAAATGGGCCCTGGAATCTAGATTGAAAGATCCATGTTTGAGACCTGGTCATCATTTATGTTGTCATGTTCTTGGGCAAGAGCCTCTTAAAATGCTCCAATTACCTCTTTGATCTACACCCATGAGTATAAATGGGTTCCAGTAAACTGCCAAGAGAACCTGGAAAAATGCTGGAAATAACTTGTGCTGGACCAGCATCTCACCCAGGGGGGTCAGGGAACTAACAAAACTCCTTCTTAGTTTGTGCTAATTAAACCAGGATTAGTGGGCTTGAGAGAATTCTCAAAAGTTATGCAAATCCTCGAATGTATCTTAAGTTTGCATAATTATTCTGAATTCTTACAGGTCACCTCGCGTTTAGATGAGGCTAAATAAACACGGAAGACGTCCTCTACAGCCCACATTTCTATCATGTTCATCACCTGAGTTATTTAAACTTGTGACGGACCATTGCAACGCTGTTTAATAATGATTTACTCAAGTACACAAACCTGGAACATAGCAGACCTTCGAAAACTTTTGAGTCAGTGACGTCAAGACTGTTTTGAGCAGAGACAAGTTATCCGTCACATCCCCAGCAAGAATGAGTACGTCATTTTTGAAGTCAACGTCTGACCAACTATTAACCAAACGAAGGTTTTCGGGAATATCAACGTGAATGTCTGAAATGGCAAAAATTCGTGACATTCTTAGTGCAGAGGAGGACAAATATCGGCTTTTGGCGAGAAGCATTCAAACCAAGTGGATAGTTGGCTGTAATATCCAAACAGCTCGGTCCGCCATGTTTGCTTTTTAGTCTCCAGGTTCTTCTCAAGAGGTGAGATCCGGCCACCATTACGTCACAAAGTGGGCTACGCAGCACAATTATTTCGTTGGTTGCTTGGTGTCTTTCACTGAAACACCCGATTCCAGAAAAATAGGAGGGACATACACCGTCAAGATTAGTTGATTTATTTCACCATAAATTCGTCACTGCTAACGTAACATTTTTTTTTTCATTTTACTCATTTGTTTAGCTATCTATTTATTGTTTTGTTGATTTATTTTCGCCATCGTGCACTCCTTTAGAAACAAAACAAAGTAAAAAATAAAACAAATTTGAGGAGCAGGGTAGAGTTTGAGTAATGGAACTTTGAGAAAAATTCCGCAAAATTAACATAATAATATGTTTCAAAAATACGTACAAGTAACGAGAGGAAATGTTCTATTGATGTACAATGTACGATGTGGTCTGTTATGTCTAGGGTTAAGAATCAGAATTTTGATACGATCTATGTTTTAAAAAGGACACTGAGTTGTCAAATTAGGTCACGCATTTTGCATGATGAGTCAGTCCGTGCTGATTAGATGCTATCGTTGAAATCATGAGAAGAGAATCCCTTAAAAAATGGAAACAGGAAACTAATTTATTGAAATCAACAAAACTGCATATCGAGAATTCAGGCGGGTACTCAATCATTCTTATAATCAAGGCGCTTAATTCCAACTTGTAGTACACACTGTACATATAGCTTTCCCTGTTGCTGAGCGAACTATTGCAATTTTCATTCTTGCTTTTTTGTTACTCCTTTATAATATAAAGTAAGTAACTGAACGCCAAACAGTAGAGGTATTTTAGAATTTAATACGGAAACATACTTGAGTACGATATTGCATTTCAAAGTGATACAAGACACGTTAATTAGATTAGGGAAACCTTTTGTTTCATCGTTCTTTATTAAGATGAAGATCATGTGGAAGACTTAGTCTATTCTTAAGGTACTTCCATTATCACTATCAAACCGAGCTTTAAATCTAACCTGACAGAGCGCTTTGTTTTCTATCTCTTTTCAACTCACATTTTTCCTGCGCCACCTCGGTTGCCAGAGGCTTCTTTTGAAAGTCTAATTGCTTTTAATTCTTCATTATGTGGCTTTATTCCGGCGAGTTAAAGCTTCGAACGCAAAGCCAGAGTTTGTTGTGGCCGGATGAGCTCTTGAATTAATACTTTAAGCCTCATAGGGCACTTAATTAATTTTTCAGTCCGTAAACTACTTCGCAGAGATGGCGAAAAGTTTTCAATTTTATAATACAAGCAAATTTTTTATTTTCACTCGAAATCTGTGAATGTACATGTACAATGTATGATTCCCCTAATTACTTCGACTTATTAGTGAGAAATCCTCGATTTATTAATTTTTTATACAATCGAATATTTACAATTTCAAACTAAGACCATTTTCGGGCCTTCTGGAAAGAAAGAAAAAATTAAACAGATAAGTCTTTCCATATTCGAGTCATATTCTCAAATTTTTAATCAAAACTAAACGAAGAGTCGATAAATCATTATTCTTTACGGAAGAGAAGGCAATGCTCGATTTTGCTGCCTTGTGTGTACAAGATCTACATTTGCCATCTGGCTGCAAAAGTTATCGATTTTCGGGATACAGAATTTACCAAATTATGTCTTTAATGAACTAACCAGAGGTGTGTTTCTAAGTCTGCTAGTTCAGTTTTGAAATGTATACAGTTTCGCGATAAAATTGTGTGAATATGTTCATTGTCAAAACACCTTTAAGTACAGTTACACATCTTTTCTTTTCTTTTTTTTTTTCAATTTTAAATACCATGGATTGAGGCCCATCGGATGTTCGCGACTTTCATCTCTGGTAAGCATATCATAGTTTTTCCTTTGTTTCATATTTGATGTCTTAGCTGGAGTTGGGCCGGTCCATTTTTTGTTTTCTCCATTTAATTCTTCTGTTCTGAAACCAGACTTTCACTTGTGTTTCAGTGAGATTTAGCGAAGCGGCGAGATAATGTCTCTCGGCTCCGACCATGTATTGCTGCCTGTCAAACTCTTTTTCCAATCGCTCGAGTTGTTCTGGCGTGAAAATCGTACGAATTCTCTTCGGTTTTCCTTGCTTGAAATTCCACGCCTTGTTTTCTTCATGGTGTACAACTGAAAGAATTGCTTCTCCTTCTGCAATAAATGGCATGACCCGCAAATTAGCATGAAAAAGATACTGTACAAGAGGGCGTCTATCGTTCTTGTTATTTCGCCTTTGTAGCTTATACCGATCTTATCGCATGAATAGAAATACTTGGTCTTTCAGTCTTTAAACTGTATTGAGGACTTTACCAAAGAAAGCGTTGTCTCAGTTTAGAACATTGAAAATTTTAATTACCTAGTTTCACATGATGAGAGCTTTATGTTATTGAATGAGACAATTTGTAAAAAAGCAATTAAATGAGGTTTCGCATGGGAAAAATCTTGCTACAGTGATTACCCTCGCTTTAAACAAAAGAACAAAAAGTATTCTTTTTAACCGTCTCTTTTTTCAGAGTCAAGAAAAAACTAAAGTGATACAAATTTTGTTTCAGAAATCAAAGTCTCTTCAGGAAAAATTATGCGTCTTTAATTTTTTTTTTACCAAATGCATTGAACGGTTTCAGTGCGAAGCCCCTGGCAGTTTTCTAAAAAACTGAATCAGGAAGAGCCTGATTTAAGGCAAGCATGTCCTCTCACTTACGTAAAGAGAGAAGTATTGTTAGGTATTTTAACACCAACACTTAAAAGTCATAAACACATAATAAACAGGAAAACGCAACCTAAACTAACCAAATTTCCGTGCGCAAGCAGTTTATAAAAGAATTAGATTTTATTTAGCAGGAAGTAAGACTAGGTACGAAAATCTGAGTTTCGTTGAGTGATAAAGTGAAAGGAATTTATTAATGGTTAGATAGATATGGACTGATTTATTGAGGATCTTCGAAATAAAGTGTATTTTTAAAGCAAAATATTTAATTCATCACAATGTGGAAATTACTGTTTAAATCTCAAGAAATCGATAAATTGCAAAGTTAAGAGTAAGAACTGACTGGTGAAACCCCTAAAGGCACAACTTACCTTTTTGCAAACTACCGCAAGTTGTTCGCGCAAAAGCACTTGCTGTCAGAGGTCGATGGTAGGGATGAAATCTTTCAATTGAGACATGTGAAGAGTAACTGGGAACAAACTGCGAGCTTATGTTCCCTTCAGACGAACATTTAGCTACCGTTGTTTCTTCGGATCTGGCTGGTTTAGTCGGCGACTCTTCTGAGCGAGATAGAATGGATGAAATCGTAAATGAAGATATTCCGGGCTGGTTTGGACTCGGAGGTGGTCGGTTCATCGCTAAACTCGATGCCACAGCACTGCTTCTCAACGCCAGGCAATACGGGGATGAGCACGTAAAATACGGGCACACGTATGGACTGGTAAACGCCTGCATGACCAGTCAATCGCGAAAATCAAAATCTCCGTGACTCGAGCACGACTCCTTTTTGAGGTTTTATGCACGCTCATAAATCCACGCGCCAAAGTCTTTGCTGCTACAGCTGATTTCGCTGAGTGAATCCTTCAAGTTAATGGCAGTCTTTTATACTCACAGCCGACAAAATTGGCAACTGTCTGCTGCTAATTTCATAATAGCAGTTGCTAAACGATGGACGGCCCTCAGAAATATGCTGTTTTCTCATTAAGCCATTGGTAAAATTGATTAGAGGGCCCCATACAATACATAATCGAAAGAACCGACTTATTAGTATCTTCACAATAAACAAACAAATTGTTCACGTATCCTTTTAACTCAAACATTAACCTATAATTCTGTGCGTTCGCCTTAATGATTTAAATTGGTCTTTATGGACCATGATAAGAAATAAATAAAGCCTGCAAATTTAATATATGTTTTTGAGAAGGAGAAATTAAGAGAAAACTTCCTCAACAGCTTTGGGGTTTTCACTCTTTGCGGGCCACTTTAACAACAAAATCGAATCTCTTTTTAAACAAAAGAATCAGTTTTAATCATAATATCCGTTCAAAGCTTTTGCCAGCGAAATGTACTGTCGGCATACGACATGTGGTAGCGAAGACAAAATTGGCATTGTTCTAAAGCCTTTTGTGTCGCCTGAGTTAATTAATACTTTTGTAGCGAAGTAGAACACACGAGATTCACTTCCTATTCCAGAGAAAAAGAAACACGCCAAGGTTTCTGTTTGATATTCATTTCTATTCAAGCAAAACACCTGTTTCGCAAGTTTTCATTCATTAGGCTGGTCATCTTCGATACAACAAGGCAATTTGCTTGCAGGAAAGCTTTTTAATTCATCAATTATCCTATCCCGTTTAATGAGCAAAAGATATTTCGGAGTTTATTCCTTTAAAATTAACTCGACAAGAGAAAATTATCGATAGTTGCTGTGGGTTCCAAAGGCAATTAATTCGCTGAAAACAATTAAAAGGTTGAGATTGAATAAGAGGGAGTGAAATCGATCCCTTCATGTGCTTCAGTTCCAGGCCTCAGTTCTTTTTTGTCTGATTTATTTTATATACGATTTCTAAGAAAAGATTGTTGGAGAACATAACGTTTTGTACAAGCTGAAACACCTTTCTACAAAGAGTTGCTTTTTGGGGACTTAGATGCAATATTCAACGCGGCTATTGTGTATATTTAGAATCAATTAAGTTGGTTTAATGAGTTCCTCTTAACCTAATATCAGTAATTTTCAATCCATTTCGTCATTTTAGTGGATCAAATAAGAAGGTTTCTTTTGACCACGCAATAAAGAAAGGTTAATCTCTTGGAATCAATCGAGACAGTCTTTACTGGGTCGCTAACACGATCCAATGACGGTAATCGCGTTTATCAATGACGGATTATCAGGGGTTTTACTCATGCACAAACAAATCGAAAAGCAATAACGTGTTCGTTCGCGTGTATTACTGAAGGGTCGCAAAAAATTTACTGATTGAAATAGAATTCCAGCCGTGTAATTCCAAAGTCATAAATTTTTTTCGTTTAATAACCTTCTTTTTTATTTTGCGAGAGACACATTCTCAATGTAGCTGTTATTGAAGTAGACTTGCTAACTTGCCCCTCCTACCACGAGCAGGCAGGCGTTCCTAGTGTTCAAAACCGCACTAATCGCATCTGATAACCTAACAATTCACGGGATAAACTGATCCGACTCGAGTCTTGTCAAGCTGCACGTATCATGTTTTTTTCCTCAGTTTCATAACTAAGTAATCTTAGCAAACTCAATTGATTGGCTAATATGCAGGATAATTTGATTAATGCAACGAGAACTCTTTAAATGTGATCTATGACCAAACAAGTTCGTTTATACGGCTAGCGTGTTTTGATGATAACATACGAGGGGATGAAATGCCGGCCACTGATTCTAGAAACGTGATAAAAGAATTTCTGCTAAAAGATAGGAAAACCACTGAGTGAGGTTAGGATTTGAAAAAAAATTGACATTTGAAAGCTAACGAGTTATTTGCTCAAGAGGAAAGAACAAAGATACAGATCATAATGCAAAACTTTCCGCCATGAGATTAGGAAATGCGTTTAGTTTTTCACCAGTTTTTGTGAGACTTTTTCTTTATGGATTCGAAATGTTAAAAATAGGGTTTCAAGAATTATTCAACACTACGATTTGTGGCTCGGCAGTTTTGCGTCTTTTCGATCAATTTAGTTATGTTTCAAAATAAAGGTATTATGATCACATTAAGATGACAAGCTAATTAGAACACTAATGCTATGAATACTAGAATAATTAAGCAGAGTTTTGAAATCTTGTTTTCAAAGGGTATTTCTGTTTAGTTTGCGAGATTCAATTTTCTTTCATATTGCTTTTTAATCCAATAATCTGGACATGTCAAAAACTTGTTTGAATGGTTAAGCATCGATGATTTTCAACAAAAATTCACATTTCAACATACAGGAACTTTCAATTCTTAAATGACAAATATAGAGACTTTTACTGCAAAGAATGACTGTTTGAAAAGTTCTCTCGGTTATGGTAATTTTTCAATTCACGACAGAGCGAAAGATGATTAAGTTATATCCTCACTGAAATTCTATTATTTGCTGTTCAAATAGTCTTTTGTGTGACATATAATGTGAAGGGGTTGAAGATTTGATTTAAAAATAAAGACCGTGAGACAGATGTCCGAGAGAAGAAAATTTCAGAATTGTGGATCTGAAGAGCGGATTTATTCTACCCGCGCGTGTGAAACTTTTTCCACTGGCTAAATTGTTTTCTGGTTTCCACTTTCTGCCATCTTGTCGCGCGGCAAGTTGTAACAGTTGAAAATCAACAAAACGATGAGACAATGCAATTTTACAAGGTCTTCGTTGTTTTGTCAATTTTTTTTTGGAAAAAAATTGAGTCATAAATAAAACCAGTGCGGTCTTAATTTAGACTCTGGCGCAGCAGGTGACGTGCAGTGCGGTCCGCCCATTTCAATGCTCACTGTTAAACTAATTTAACTTGAGAACAAGAACAGTTAATTGTATGAGGAAATTCACCATACATCGTAACACGAAAATTCACTAATTGGGTCGCGATTTGATACGTGGTCGGGCGGGATTCAGCGCAAAATTTGGGCGATTTGTACCGCAACTTTTAAGTCGCAAGTACTGATACAACAATGTGAAATGTGATTGATACACCTCTTTAGAGACACCTTAGAGCGTTCAGAGTTTTTTGCGAAGCAACCATTATTTACAACACGTGATGTTCATACGGCTTCAGATCCATCATTTTTAGCTGTCAAAATGATCTTGGAGCATTTCAGCTTTCAGACTCTTATTTGACAGTTAATTTGCGAGAGAAAAACATGACTGATGCTATTGTCAGTTAAACATCAAAGTACCGATGTTTTGCTTCTTTTTACTATTCGCTTTGATACTGAGCTTCGCATTCAAACGATTAACCACTAGTACTGCTGTTCTAAAACTGTTCACCTTTTTTTCAAATCGTGTAGAATTATTTTACCACGCACACTTTGAGAAAGCCGCGAATCGAGACAAAGACGTATAATGATAAGATTATTATAACAATCTTTCAGTTTGTAATGGTTAAGGACAGGAGTTTTCTCTGGATATTTCCTGTTTCCGTAGCTTCCTTGTTTTCTTCACTCTACTGAATTTTTTTCTTGAGTTTCTTTGTTTCCTTTTTTTGATGAATGAGCTAATCGTTGTTGTTATTACTGAAATTAACAAGTTTGCTGTCTTCTCTATTCTGTCTTTAATTCGTGGATCTAGATATCATCATTTTTTCTTCAGAGACTTAATCTAACAATGAAAAATATACCTAGGACCACAACACCATACCTTTATCGCCAATATCTGTCACAGTACAGCTGCAAAACAACGAATTGCGATAGCAATATTTTTACAAAATCCTGCAAACTTATACTAATTTCAACTGAAAACTTCTGGGTAGCACCTATGAGCGTAATCCGAAACAAAAGCTATTTGTTTCTTGTAAAATAGATGAGAAATGCGCCTGTCATGGTCTCCATTTTCCATGAACTGAACCAAAATGTGCTGCAAACGAAGCCAATAGGTCGTCAAAAACAGTAAATCAGCTACCACAGATCTCTTAGGTTCTTTTTACTGACAAATGTCAGTTAAATTTTTGCTTCAGAGAATCATCTCTTCTGAACATTGCACTTAACCTGTGTCCTCACTGCCATTGCGATGCTAAAAATTGTCTCTGACAGCAACTTAAGTATAAGTTAACATTAAGAGACCCTAGGAACTGAACACCATACAAGCATGTTGGTCTCTCGAGCCAAGTTTGTTAGCTGCCTCAAACTATCATGTTCTGTCGAAAGATGCGCAAGACAAAGGCGAATACATCAAAACTGGTCACAGTTTTGGGTTTTTACCGTCGGCAGATGTTGAAGGGTATGAAAATGCCTAGATAATAAATAGCACTGTAAGCTCTACATTCAGTTCATCAGCATCCCAATTTTTCCCGTCCATGTAGCTTCCGTCATGAATTCACTAGGAAAGTCTAGTAAGTACCAGGTAGGTACACCGATGACAGGATCTCGTGAACATTCCAAAAGAGAAAAAAAGAGCCGGTTCCGCTTTTTTTGTGCTATTTTGGTTCAGTAGCTCATAAACAAGAATTTTTCTAAACAATTTCTTCATTTACTAACGAGATTAATGTTATGAAGCTTACAGATACGTCAGCCAGCTTTATTTAAGATTTTCATCATTTCTTATATCTTGGTTACAGGTCAGTTTAGCGAAGATTTAGGGTGGCATTTCGCTCAGATAGCCGACGAAGAAATATCTAGTAATTGAGAGAGCAATAAAACTATACAATATATATATTTTCTTTTAGAGGAGACGGGGAAATCAAAGAGATTGTCTAGTATGATAGCCATAGCATGTTTTTATAAGAATTTTACTTTAAATAAAAACACCATTCAACGTATATGTACAATCTACAGCACTGCCTATATACCATAAATACTCTAAGTTAGGATATTTGTACATTGTACAGCTTATAATCAAGTAGTGCATCATATGCGCAATGTCTATGCCTTGTTCTACGGTAAAAACTGTACCCTCGGAGCTGTATTTTCATAGGTAAGTTAGAATATGTAAGGCAGTCAGGTGATTCCGTATGCCTTAAGACTACGTGTGATATAGAATTATCATGATGAGTATCTATGGCGATCGACTGACGAACAACGATCCTTTTGCTGTCGACCTGCGCTTTCGTTTGCTTCGACGAAGTCTGATCTTCGTCGGAGTGGCCTCGACAATCCTATATCGATCGGTCTTCTTGCGTTTTGATCTGCTGATATGGCTAGAGTCGCTGTCGTTGTCGTTTCGGCGTCGTTTCTTTGTAGATTTCACGACAGAGTATAGATTGTCTTGAAATCGGACAACTTTGAGGGGTGTCACCGTCTGTGCGGGCTTCCAAGGAGGACTCGGCGTTCCTCGGAACGATAGTTGAGTCTCCGACTTTCTCTTCGGGGTCCTACGTGATGGTGGCGAAGATGACAGCTTTGTTGGTGTCCCCTGGCTCTTATCAGTGGTGGATTTCACTGCGACGGGAGACCTACTCCTTGTTCTTGATCTGAAAAGTAAGGGTTGTGAATAAGTAAGAGGGTTGTGAATAATTTGTGTGACTGAATGTTTCTATCAAATTTTTACATTCTAATAATCGCATTATTCATAATGAGAATTTGCATCCCTATGTACCAATAGATATGACGGATGATTTGCTTGGCCATAAACGTATCGGCCTAAACTATTCAACCTGTTCTGATTGACTGACAACTAAATAATTGTTTCAAAGATGAATTTTCCGAATTGCGATAAAATTATTTCCACGTTTCGTGCTTACCTTGTTACACAAGTTGTCTTTGATGGGTCTCCCATCCTATTACTCCTAACTTCATCTTCAAACTCTTTCAAACTCTTTCCTCGTCCTATGAGCCTGTCCAGTTCTGCGTAAGTATTTCTCCGTGTGGCGGTCACCTTGTGTTGTGTACTTGCGACATGTTTCTCTATTCCCACGTAATTTGCATCACACAGTTCACAGTATCCCTTCTTGTCTTCACTTCCTGTTGGTTCCCGGGTGATCTTACGTCTGTTACTCCTCCTTGGACTCTTGGATGAGCTTCTTGATCTCGTGCGCATGCTCACAGGTTCATCAAATGGCGAGAAGCCGGGTGGGGCGTCTAAGTTAAGCCGCGGCCAGACCCTGAGTTCTTTGACAAGTGGCTTGTATTCTCTGAAGAGGAACAAACACTAACTATTGGTAAATTGTAATTTGATGTATCGATTTTTTTTAGATTATCGTTAACACGTAGCAGGGGGTTTTACCTGGGTTCTGACAACCAAAGAACGAAGGTATTACGAAGGTATTTCCTCATGAGCTCCAGACAGTTTACGAACTGCAAACCAAAATTTTTTTAACTCAACATTAACTTAAACTCGTATTACCTTTCCTTTGAAAGCTAATTGTTTTTTGAAATATTGTAGCTCATCAATGCGGAGCACTCGGTCTAACGACTTTTAGCTCGTCATTTAAAGACAGATAAACCTACTTGCTGGCTGTACAATATGGCCAGAATTCTTCATAATAAACTCCTCCCTTTCATTTTACAGCAAGCATGTAAATTTATGTCATTAGATCACTAACATCGGGTCTCGAATTTAGAGCAAAGTACAGGTACTCACCGACTGTGATCTTCCACTTTCAGGAAAGCTCCCCGCAGGCTGCACATGCGACAAGTTGACTCAGCGTTTGCTTGTCGCTTCTTCTGCTCATCAATCCATTTTAAAACCAGCTCAACCTGTTTGACTTGAACTCCCCACGTCTGTGCATTGGTAAAGACATCAGTACTCTTGACTGCGCGCTTCTCTTGCTTAACTGACTTTTGGAGCATGGCTTGAGCACGAGTTTGCTACGAGAAAGAAGGAAATCGGTTTATTAGTTGCGATTTAAGTGCCAACAGAGTAATATTCATTATTGTTTCCTGGATTTGCTAAGGCTGAGGGTTTTCAATCGATTGACTTAAAAAACACGTAACTTTTTCCACCAATTAAGAAAAAATAAAGAAAATAAAAAAAATTTGAACCAACGTAAACGACACTATTTCCTGCTCGAAGTCGCTAAGGTTTTTTGTATCATTTTTTTGTAAAGGGCATCTTCCGAAATGTCCCTTTGTTCTGATTAGCTTTGGCATGTCTTCGGTTTTGGTTTCATGAGACTCAATCAGAAAGATCCCGCTTATTTACTGATTACAAAAGATGTAAACAATACATAAAACTTACCCCCCGAAGTCTCGATAAGGCAAAGTCAGTGGATTCTTTCTTTTGAGACGTTTGGCGGAGCGATGTTATCGGCTGGTCTGTCACAACGCAGGAGAGATCCTTACTCAGAAATTTCTCGACCACCTAAAGAAAAAAAAAATGGAGTTGGACCCGTTACTCTGTTAATCTCCGATTCTGGTTTGTGCTTAAACGCGAAAATGTCCCTTCAAACCATCAAAAATGCAAACAAACTTTACAAGTCACGTACAAGCATTCAGCCCTCCCCGCTATGGAACCTGTTCTAATCGCTAACATGTGGGTAAACATGGATACTCACCCCTCCCAGCTCCTTGATTTTCTTTTCCACTTCCCTCGCTTTAACTGCTGACCGTACGTGAATGAAAAATGTTTTTCCTTGAAGCGAGGTGACAGGGTATTGCAAGCGACAGCGACTACGTACTTCAGGAGCTAAAGTAATGAAAAGAAAGCAGAGAAGTGTTCCTTGTGAGAAAAAGTGTGAGGAAACCTAAATTATAAGCAAACTTAACCCTTCTAATGTGAATTTTTTTTTCTTGTTCAAAGCGTCGAAGAGGGAAAAGCGTCAAAGAGATCAATCTTCATTGACCTAAAACAGGATGAATGGTTGGAAACATCAATAAATTCAGCGCAGGATGGAATCCAATTAGACGAGAAACAATCAAGCATACCCTCATCCTTTCTGATGATGTCTAGACAGCAATTTAGTTTCATTGACCAATGCTACCTTAAAATCAATTAGCGAACGATAAAACTTGAAAATTGCGCAGCTTTTTTTTAACGAAGGAATCAAACAACTAGATTGCTTCGGAAACTTCCGGCAGACAGTGAAACATTGTCTTAAAACGATCAATGAGGTATAACTTACCTTTGTCTTTGAGTCTTGCTCCTCTCGTTCCCTTTGATCCAGAACTCATCTTCCAGCTACTTCTTTCTTGAACTATGAACTGTTGTCACTCTCTGCTCACCACTACTAATATATTTACTATGAATAAGCCTGTCCTTTTAAGTCGCGCGGTCATTAATTGACGCTAATCGATAATGACGTCATAATCGGCGGTAATAAATCGCGCGAGTTTGTCGGCCGCCGAAAAAGGCGGTGTGGGGCCGTCACGTGTTTGATTTATACCGCCATGTACATCAAACCGTTAAAAACTTATCGAAATAAATGCATCGTTGTTAGGGGTCGTTTAGGATTCATTGATTTCTTCTGTAAGAAGACTTCACATTTTAGATATGCAGAAAGAGCGACATATGCGGATTGCCTTTTGTGCGGGTACGACATTGATGACAGAAAAAAAACGCGAGAGCAGGTGGCATTTTGTTTCAAGTAGAACCCACCTGAGAGAAGAATACAAAAAGTCCCTCCTTCCCAGCAAAAGAAAGATTTGAACTAAGCAATAAATCGTAGCCTCAGACCGCGCGTAGACCTTCTTTTTTTACCAACAATTTTTCTCTTTTCTCTTTTTCGCGATGGACTAAGCTGGGAAAAAGGCCAAAAGGAAAAACTGTACGAGCCTACACTAAGAGTCACCTAAAACACAGAGCACATTTAAAATAAATCCTTGAAACATTCAACCGTTAGTCAGCCAATGGAGGGCTCTTAGCCGCGGTGAGCGAAAAAGCACACGAAAAGTGGTAAGCAAGCAGACGAGGCGGTTGCAGTAGTCAAGGAAACAGCTGCTTTCTTTTTCCTCCCGCTAATTTCGCGAACGCACTAACTGAAAGCCTAGAACAGGCTAACCATTACAAAACTGCAACTATCAGAGAACAACGAACAACAGGAACAATGAGCACCAGAGAAATATTTCCGGCACTATTTACAGAAAGAACCGACAAAAGCGTATACCCCCTCGACTAAAAAGAGGATTTTTGTGATAACAAGTAAATTGATGCGAGAAACTCTTAAATGTGTGTCTGTGACCATAGATATTTCTATTTCGATAGTTACCTCTCTTACCTTTGATATCATAACCAATAAACAGCTTTTTATTAATCACTCTTTAAATAGTTTCAATAAGGCTTTTATTTGTTATTCTCATCCGGGGTAAATGGCGGCTTTACCTGAATGACACACGTTGCTTTCTTCGTGTGCATTAGTTTCCGAGGCTTTCTTTTGCCTCGTATAAAACATTTGCGAGCAGTTTCTCAGGAAATGTCTTACAAACTAGAACGTTCATTCAAATCATCAATATTAAGTCTCTTTAGTCCTTCGATCATTACCAGCCTCCTTTCTTTTTCTTGGTTCGCTGTTTCTTCTTGGCAGCCTGGGGCTGCTGTTGCCGAGGCGGCACTACGTTCGCGGTACTACCCGACGCAGAGGGGGTACCAGGAGGAGAAGCGGGCTTAGGACTACCGGGTGTTTTAGGACTGGACGAACTACAGAAGAAAGAAAGAAAGAAAGAAAGAACCAATTGGATGAACCACAGAAGAAGGAAAGAAAAAACAAAATATAGCAGTTGATTAATGAAAGAACCAAAGCTGTTCAACAACCTTTAGACTAGTTCACTTAGTGCTGAAACCTTGTCTAGTGACTGTTTGGCAAGGTTTCTGTGAACCTATTTGAGATAGCAGGTAATTTAGTTTTAACAACTAAGTTGAAAACGAAAATTGGCCACCGTAAAAAATGTTAAAGGCTGACGTCTCGAGCGTTAGCGCTCTATACTCTCCCACCGACGCAGCACCACAGTTTCTTTAGAAACTTACTCCTTTATCTATTTGAGATAGTTTGACTCAAACGGATGAATCTTCTAGTTTTACCACTGTATCTTTAGACTGTCCGTGGATCCCGCTTAAATTTTAGGGAGGTAACCAGCGTCGTTTTACAGTATTACAAGAAGATTGATTGCATGATCATTTGGGTAATTCAGTATGGCGCAAAATAATTATGTCTAGTCCCTAGTTGCTGCTGTGACTTTTGAAAATAACTTCCTCTTTATCAAAATTTACCGTTGAAAAAAATGATCCTCAAAGCATCGATCAATCTTAGTTCACAAAGTAACTAGTGAAAACTATTTTATCAGAGAGCTGATCACAATCTGTGTAAAACTTTTCCGTTTTACAGATATTCCAACCCACTGTCTGTAACTTTTTCAAATAGAAAAAAACATTATTTGAGGCTGAAACAAACCATTATTAAAAAAAACCTTTGAAGTCAGAACAATAAACACCCCAATTTATATGGTAATGTTATTGACTTTCCATGAGGCTTTTGAGCGAAATGAAGGCTTTGATTCTTGGCCACCCATTGCAAATGAGGATCTATTTTGTGATTGCATGGCATGATATCAGTCTTTTGTTTCCATATTTCCTTTCATCTCTTAAAAATAATTAAAGCATTGAGCGTGGAACTTACGCGTCTGAGGGAGCTGCAGCACCTTGTGTTCCTTTGCCTGTCATACACAGCAAAAATCAAATATTACTTACAGCTGTATGCACAGCACTGGCAACAATATTAGGGGGTAGGAGGCGTAAAGGTTGTGACAGAGAAGGGCAGTATTCACTGACCCCAGTAGCAAAAGGATCACCATGGCAACAGAGCGAAGCCTATCTTCGGTCACCCGTCAACACAACATTAACAAACCAGTGCGTGGAATGAATATATACCCTGATTGGGGAAGGGGAAAACGGAAAAACAATTTAAGCGGAAAAAACCAGGAGACAGTGTCCTTCAAATTTCCCTCGAGCCCCACAACACAGTGGTATAACCACAGCATGAACTTGGTTCTAACATCGCCAGAAAAAGCCGAAAGACGCATGCGCAGGCTTGAACACTTTCATTTCACCTTTGAACACTTCGCAAAATTTAGTCGCAAACCGTTGCAGTTCGATCGCGAAAACTCAAAGTGTGCAAGCTGTACTGGGCGGTCCTCAGCGACTGTTGTCAGCTTTCGTTTGCAAGAAAGCCATAGAGTGGATGGCAAATATATAATAATTGTTTGGTGTTGCTCATAAAAGTTCGTGATATACGCAGACATCATTCAGCTGTCCCCAAATGCAAATTACATCTAGCAGCGCTAATAAGTTTGCACTTGTCAAAGGAAAAATTGTCGGATACTTACTTAACCCTTTAACCCTTAAGAGTGATTAGCATCTAATTTCTCCTTACAACATCACCCCCCAAATCACACATACAAGTCACAAGAAAAAAGGAGATGATCACCAATGATAGAAGCACTAGATTGTTAGACAAATTCTCCTTGTCAGCACCTTAGGAAATGTATTGAGAACAGTATGGAGAATATATCTACTGATGTGAGGGTGTGAAGGGTTGAGTTAGAGACCTTGTAGTTCATTAGTCTGAAAATCTGGTCAGTCAGCTTTTGAACAAGGAAATGTAGTAGAATAAAAATGTTTCATATGCTTCCATCCCAGCTGCCCAGGAAATCTTTGAACTTTCCAGTGAAAATGCTGCTCAAGGACTGGTGACGCCATTACACCCTCTGCTTCCAAACCAACGCAGAGAAACGGGTAATCCATAGAAAAACGTTAACGATCTTTGACGCTCTCGTTCACCTTCAATATCCCATACAGAGTCACCAGTGCAAACCCGTTAGCTTATTTTTTCTTTACGTTCTGAAGACAAACAAGCCACAGGCAACCTACCTACTGAGGCACCCTTCTTCTGCCTTTTACCCTTGTAGTACGTCCGTTCTCTTTTCGGTATCCAGCGTTCGGGATCTGGATCGACCTCGGCGTTGTAGTTTTTCGGTAGTTTACCTGGGTAACCAGTAGAAACATTCAAACCAAACGGAAAGAGTGAATGAAGAAGAAATAGGGAGGATAAAAATACACTGAGTGTTGATTATTGATGACCAAAAGAAAAAAAACCGAGTCAGATCCTTTCGTTTCACTAACATTCAACAAAACAGTGAGCCATATAACCTTCTTGATCACTCATAGGGCAAGTGTTGCCTTTCTGTCAGTATCGAGTACAAAACGTGTATCAGTATACCTCTCTTCCGCTTTCTCTTCCGTCTTTTTACGAAACTTTCTTTCCTGTAAAATAGCAATAAAAAGACGTATATAGTTGATATTCAATGAAAAAGGACTTTGGTTGTTTGATGCGAGATAAGGTTAAATCAGGACTGTTTTCGACCTAACAACTATCATCAGTTCTCAGTAAGCATTGTTGTTGCATTTATGTTTTGCCGAGATGTTGCATAGAGAAATTGAGAATAAGCTCTGGTTATAGACAGAAATTAAGACGCCTCATTACTTACGTCAAATCCACCATTTCTGTATCGCCACCCTCTTGTTTCATTCTTGCCCGACCGTATCGAGATCCCATGGTTCTCAGCGACATCTCCAACTCCTCCACGTTTATAGATGAACTCTGAGCCTGCGTGTCCAGCGGCTTGAGTTTTTCACTGTAACTGTATTGAACATGCAGTTAAGGAAAGGTAACTGAAATTAAGCTGTGCTGTCATTTGATCTTCTCTTGAGAGGATTTACGGGGTTGTGGAATAATCTAGTTTTAGCAGGACCTTGCAGACAACCTTGCAAGAAGCACCGACGAGGTTTGACTCTATCATGCAATCGGAAGTGCAAACGACAGAGCTGAAAGAAATGCACCCATGTGAAAACTTTTCGAGCTCTCGAAGGAAACCATCGGAACACTATGGTAAAATGACGGAATTTTGGAAAAATTGGAAAAGCAGCCAGGTTTTCTGCTCTGATGAAAACGAAGTTAAACGATTGAGCTCTAAACTGTCGCTGCGGGCCGTCGTCTTACAGCACGGAACAACACAGAACAGTACAGAACAACACACTGTAAACTGTCAGCGAAAACACTCTTAAGCACTATTCAGACAATTGCGACAGCATGGTCACAGTATAACAATGCGTCTTACTGTTTACCGTTTACCCAATCGAGTATTGAGACTGGAGACTTAGGCGGTCTTGGAGACAGTTGTCTGACGTACAGACAGCTGAACTAATTACGCTGAACGTACCGCAGTGAAGTTTTAATTTCAAAGCTCTGTTAGGGACGTGAAGATCACAAGAAAGGATACTACTCTGCCTTCTGAGGATTCAATCGAGAATAAGCTTTGATAAGTTGAGCTAATGTCTTCACATCACGGGAATCCTCCCTGCAAATACAATATAAGCTATGTTGATCCCTGGCCACAAAAAATTGAACATGATCAACCATACCCCTGATAAACAGAGAAGATAGTTTATTCAACTGAACCACCCCCAACTATAGTGACGTCATGTTTGTCGTTACGTCACACCTCTTTCTAGAAGTTCGTTCAACCGGATTTATTACCGGTCTCTTTGATTAATCCCGGGCGAGAAATTTTCCCATGCATCGGGTACGGAAAAAAAAAATCCCACTTTTATTCACTGCAGTAACTGAGCTGAAATTTCTGACACAAACAGTCACCGACGGAAATATCAGCTGACTAACCAAGCTGATATTTCCTACGTGAACATAATGCAAAATTCGCTTCGTTCCCCGGGACTATGTGAAGAGGCTCTTGGCCGATTTCTTTCTCAGACCTCTGCAAAGAGTAGGTAAGATTTGACATACTTATGCAATTTCTCCAGCATGTCCACTGCCTCTTTAGCTTTACCATGTTGCAGTTTATATGCCACATTTTCTCTCATCAAGGACAAAACCTCAGACTGTCTCATCATCGCCTATAAAAAAAGAATTGCGGCGTTAGAAAATAAAACAATTCCGTTGCCCATTTCGTTGCCCATTCCGTGAAGCCCTTTTCGATTAAGTTTTGTAAAACTAAAACCAAAGTAGTCCCAACGACTAAACGTAACATCGGAAAATATCACAAGAAGTTCAAGAAAACTAAAAAAGAAAACAACAACAAATGCAGTGACTATGTGGCGATGGTTTTAGTTCACACTGACTTTAACTCCCACGATCAGATTGTTCATTCGCCCCTGTGGCTTCTATACGTTTCTTTGAAAATTAGTTATGAGAATTTGGTGTTAAATCAAAATAAAAACTTCCACCTGATAAGTTTGAGTATTCTCATTACATGTTTGCTGGATAATGTATGAATATTATAGGGAGATGTTACATGCTAATCACGGCTTCTGGGAGTTAAAACGTCAAGTATATGTGGCTCCGTTGTTCGAAGGTTTGATAACGATATCCACTGGATAAATTTCCATCCGTTGGATAGCGCAGTACGTTTTGTTAACATTTGTCCGCTGGATAGCGATTTATCTGTTGGATAGCGTTATCTGCCCTTTTAACAACTGGGCCCTTATTGTTTAGGAGAATGGCGCGAATTTTCTATTACAATCATAGAGCGAAGTTAAGCGAAACCAATGGGATATTAGATAAGTTATAATACTCAATTTCAAAGTTGTTCCTTTCTACAGGCCTCTTCTAAAGGGTCACCCTAGGAACAAAGGGCTATGGGCCATTATGGATAGGTTGAGTGAAATGCTTCAGTATAAAATCGCTCCAGTCTCCCGTTTACTAACCTTGTTCTTCTGAGCATGCTCAACAGCATCATCAAGGACACCAACCGCAGAACTGATGTCCCCAAGATGAGAATACATCGTCACCAGAGCAGACACCTGGTTTGGAGATAAACACAACGGCAGTTGAAGAGAATGAAACGTATACTCACTGCCTTGCCAACTTAATTACTCACCACGCCTGGTTTATAAGCCAAGTCTTTGATTGAGCGCAGCGTTGTACAAGCGGTGGAAACATTTCCTGTAGGATAAAATAACGCAGGCCGGTTTCAGAATGTTACCTCCTTATGAACACACCCCATACCCTAAGGGAGGTTTCATCATATCATTTCAATCGGTAAATGAAGAGCTACTCTCTAGAAAGGTTTCCAATAATCATTATCATCATTATTATCATTATAATAATCCTGTTGTAAAATTATCTGCAAGATGACCACAACACAAAAGAATAACAAAAGAGTAACAAACCTTGTGCCAGATAGAGCTGCACTAATGTAAGTTTCACATTTGTAGCAGTGTCGTCATGGGAGTCTGCGTAGTTCTAAAAAAGACAGTCAGACCAAAAGACTTTGAGAAGGGTGTCTCTGTGTGAAGAACATGCACCAAAGTGGTCTACACTGAGACTTTGTTATTCCAGTACAAATTCAGGAAGTTTGTGCAACTACAACAAACCAAAACTCTTTTCACATCATATAACATGACTTTAAATTTTTTGTACCCAGTCTAGTTAGCAGGAGGCAGAGTTCAACGCTTATGGAGACAGGGATACTGCCTTCACCTTGTGGACTGCCAGTAAGTTTCTTGGATTTTTGGCTTTCAAGTTTACCTCCTTGGGAAAAATCAGAGTTTACATAAGAAAATAACATACCTTGAGCAGTTCAATTGCTTTATCAGAATGTTTCTCTCTGTGCAGAAGTGATGCTCTCATCAGACAAGGAAAATCACTTCCAGGGTATTTTGTTTCCAAGGTGGATATCAAGCTACGACAAGCTTCAAGCTGTTTGTAGGAAGAGACGTAAAAATTTAAGACTGTTATGGAAGATAAGCAAAAGTTGGGTGCATGAAATAAAGTGCAAGTGAAATTAGTGGGAGTGCCGAGAAATAAGTGAAATTCATGACAGCTTTTTTCTAACAATTGCAACCTCTATGTCCACTTGCTTACCATTTTTAGCATGCCTACTTTTCCCCTCAAATCCATTAGCTGTGAGCCTAGCTCAAGATAAGTTTGGCCAACTGCATTACATTTATAAAATGTACATATAGCCCCACTGTTCTTCAGGACCACTACTCAAGGCATTCACCATTAGCTAGACTGATAAGTCAAAAAACTGACTGGAGGTTTTTCAAAGGAGATTCCTCTAAGTTTTATGAGAGTTTTCTCAGAATCAAGAATTCAATTTTAAAATAAAACTGATATGGCCAGAGAGTTCATTAGAAGAATTCTCATTTTGAATGCACCACTCAGCTATGCCACAAAGTTCTGACTAATACAGGGTGCAACTATTGTCATGGTTGTGCAGTTTCTTGAAGGGGAAACAATTTGTAACAAACCCAAAAAACTATTTGGTATAGAAAGGGTAGCAAGTGGTAAAATTCAGAATTTGCCAGAAACTGATAAACCTGTTCCCCCTCCTATACAGTGGCCAATGGTTTAGCTTTACTGAAATTATTGCAATGTACTCCATAGAGTTGTACAGTTATACTTTTAAAAATACTTGTTTATGTGACATGCTTTTTCTTGAATTGCATATTACACAGTTTGTCAGTCAAAATGTTGACTTTAGGCTACTCTACCTACAACCTTTGACAAAACTGCAATAATTTGAGACCAAAATTAAAGGCACCTCAAATAAGACTGTATTGAAGAATTACAAGATTTGAGACTACGTACTGTAAAAAGTTTGCAAGACCCCTGAGTTTCCAAGTAGCATTTACCACCCTTCACTTTCTCAAATCTTGAAGAGCCCAATTTCTTAGGGTCAGTGGAACTTTAAGAATAAATATTCAACTAGAATTACCTGATTTGTGTAGAAGAGCAAGAGGCATCTGTTAAATGCCATTGTTCGCTGTTGTGATGCAGTGGATTTGTGTTCCAGTCCATCTGCAGTCATTGATTTAACTTTCTTCTTTGAGTCAAACACATCTCGGTCCTAACAGTTTTATGAAATAGACAAACATCTTCAATCTTCTCTGCGAAAAAGCATCTACTTTACCTAAATATATACACAATATCTGATATGTGGAGCACCAGAAGTGGTTATTTGGGATAGCCAGTTTTCATCTCAGGCATGTATTGTATCCCCAATATTTACATTCTTCTCCTACATAATTATATTCTTTTAAAAACATGTGTATTAACTATTAAAGAAAGTACCTTATTGTGTGAATACATGTAGATTTAAATTAACATATACTTGTATTAAAATTTGGTCTAACCACTCAACTTCCAAGATCTGATTGTTAGTTCACCCCTTTAGCTGCTACACATTTCCTTGTAAGTTAGTTATAAGAATTTGGTGTTAGATCAAGACAACAGAAATAAGTATTCTCATTATCTGTTTGCTGGATAATGCATAGATATTATTGGGAGAAGTAATTTGTTAATCACTTCTGTAAATGGGCTGAATAGGTGATTGATCAATCTGCTTTCTATCATCACCAAGTCAGCTAAAAAGGTACCTGCCTTGCACTAACATTCAAATGATGAGCTAAATGTTGATTGATGGAAAGGATAGACAGTGTAAAGAACACATAGACTGCCTACCCTGTTAAGAGTGATGATATTATTGGAGGCAACAGCTGCTAAGGCAAGGTCATCAGGCCTGTGCAAAATTTAGAAAGAAAAAAGATTATCAGAATGATTCATATTTTTAAGTCGTATCAATGAAAGAACAACAGAGGCCTAATCCTATCACTGTTTTAATTGAGTCAATAACAAAATACATGAATCCCATCGACTCTTGGCAGCCTAAAATTATTGCTTGATTTAGCTGATACAAAACCTGTCCAAAGAACCAGCAGCTTATAATTATGCAGGTCAAATCAGAAAGTTCAACAGCCAATCAAAATCAAGGAGCAACATTGAGATGCGAACATTGGAATGAATGCTGACCAATCAAATTTGAAACTAATTGAGAAATTCTTAAATTATCTTTAGTGAGCAGCTTCTTGAGTTAGCAACCTCTTGGAAGCAAAAGCAAATGAAAATTACAACTCAATAGAGTATGGTTTCCTTCTCAGGAAAACAAAAGAGTTGCGCACAATAAAAATGCATTATTTTTAATCCAGCTTTAAACAGATGTAGGACTTTGTGATTGTATCAAATATTCTTATCTGATGAATATATCTTTTACATTATTAGCTGTTTTAGCATGATGTACTGCTGAGTATAGTTTACAAGCAACAAGTAAAAAATACTCAGCAATACCAAACACCAAAATGTCTTATAAGTTATTTATTATCAAGCCACTCTATTTCATAAGCATTCTTTATCAGGCAGGAAAAGTGAAGCAAATAAATCGAGAAGTGGTTTGTAACAGGTTTTTTTTAAATACTTAGGTTTTTTTACAATTATACAAAATAACCAACTGTTTGAATAACCATACAATATTTCCTGACATCTGTATTTGATTTGCACCTTATTGCTGGAGTTGGATAATAGTAGGGCTTCATGTCAAACAATTCAAAAGAAATCAAGCCAATAATTTCAAATCATCTTCCTGCTATGGTCTGAGCCAATTTGAAATTACTTGCCTGGCTAATAATTGAATTGCACGCCATTCTTTGAACTTGCCATTCTAAGCTATATAGAATTTTCCACAAGTTAAAAACATAGTACATACTTTGATTTAAGAACTTGATTGTACAATTTCTGTGCATCGTCATTCTTTCCCTGGAGCTGATAAGTGTACGCAAGCTGGGTCCTGACAACTCCCAGCTCAGATTCAATATCTTCCTCAGCAATGTCCTTAAAGCAAGCAGATTTTAGCTTCAGTGAGGAATCCTGGATCTTTTATGAGAAAAATACTTCATTTAATTTGTTATACATGTACCGTTTTAGTGGAACAAACTCTTTGAGAATGTGATAGTCCAAGTCTGAACCCTTGACTAAGTTATCAAAACCACACATTCCACAAATTGCTTTACTTCTTCCTCACAATCCTAAATCTACATGTCACAGACAAAATAGTTATGACACTCCTGCTTCTGCAATAGTTCACTCTGTATTTATGATAAAGACTTACAGGATCATCTTCAAGGCTTTTTTGACACAGCTCTGAAAAAAACAAATTAGCATATGAAAGTCATATAAAATTGATATTAAACTGGAGAGGGCAAACCTGATACACGCCCCCTCCCCTCCAGCATATGGCCATCATTGGACACAAAGGATCACATGAAAACCAATTCTCAATAGTCACTGACAATGATAATGGTGAATGTATATACACTTGTTTTACCCACTGGGTGACTACTTCAATTTCCATAATTTCTTAACATCCACTCAGGGATCTTTGCAATCAAATACCATGTGGACAGCTGGCCTTATGTCTCTAAACATTCACTAAGTGATCTTTGCCATCACAAAGACCATGTGGAAACCACGCTTCATGTATCAAAGAATGAAAATCAACAGATACCTCCTGCCTTTTTAAGCTTTTGCTGAGCAGTTTCTACATCATTCTGACCTAGAGAAAGGCATGCTGCATTGTAACACAGCTCATAAGTGTCTTCTCTTAAACCTGGGACTTCCTGAAACTAATAAGTTGAACTAATAAACAATGAAGTTCTCAAAGTTTATTTTATAGATTGATAATGATGTAGCAAAGAGGTAACTAGATAGGTAGAGATCTTCTTTTGAAAGTTAGAGACTGAGTCCCTCAACAATTTCAGCCACAGAACCCTTTATCGACTTACCATGATTGCTTAATAAAGATTGTTGCAACATACCATTAGCGACAAGAAAATGTTTCATTAAAGTTTTCATTCTTTCTTTTACATTTCTTTAAGTCATAACCACATGGCAATATTTTCAATTGATAGCAATCAGACACAAACATATGTCACTCATAATATCTCTAAGCTGAGCAACCTTGAGCTGAGAACCTTGGTTATGAGAGCAAATCCTGGACTTTGAAACCTTGGAAAGAAATGAGGGACTCCCACACTGATATAAAATACAAATACACTTTAAACAGTACTTCAGCACTCATTGCAAATACTGACGAGATTTCAAGATTGGATAGAAAGTTTCTAAAACACGCAATTCCTCAAGGTACTATTTTCTATTCCAAAAATAAAATCTGTCTCTTAGAAATGCTGATTGTTCAATGGTTCTGACTTTAAAACACCCACAATAAATATTTTGCCTTTTGATAAGGATTGAATCCTCACCAAGAATGAAGCAAAAGTTACATGTAGTAAGAGCTACATGTGCACCTGGCCCTAGTTGTTTAAAGGCTAGTCATAACACTATCTGCTGGATTCATCTCTGTCCAGTGGCTAACACAGTATGCTTTGTTATTGTTTATCTGCTAGATAGCAATTTATCTTTTGGATAGTGTTATCCACCCCCTATACAACTAGGCCCAGTAGTTCTGCGAGATCAGATCAGACATATACCATCTGAAGTCCTCCCCACTGTGATGCGGCAGCAATAACAGCAGCAAGGTTAGTTTCTCTTTCATCTCCATACTCATCCTATAGAGCATTTATTTATAAGTGACAATGGAAATAATCATAAATCAAAAGTAAATTGTTTCTCAAAATGAAGATCCAACAAAAATTTGAAAGGTTTGACTCAGAATATAAGAACTCATGATCATGAACAGAAAAAGTTCAATTTGTAATTATTTAGCTGTATAATTATGTAGTTTACTAAATGGTGTAAGGGTTGTCAAAATAGACAGGTAACTGGTGTATATCATTGTTTAACTATGAAAAACAGGGTGGTTATTTCAAATGTTTGTGCCCAATTTTCAGCATGGAAGCAAAACATTGTGCGGCCTACTTTGTATCACAGTCAGGTACTCAAAATCTTTTTAACAACGCTAGGCTGTCATGCAGCCTAAATGGATAACAGGCATTGAGCATCTTGAAAAATTTTGCCTTGTAAATATTTTAAGTTGGTGATAACCTTTAGACCAAGTGGTGTTTACCTGAGAATTCTTGATTAAATCTTTGTAAAGATCCAAACAAGTCCTATAATCTTCAAGCCTATAGAGCTGTAGCAAGGAAGATTGCAACAAAACTTCTTTTATTATACTGTTTGAGAAGAAGTGTTAGTATAAAAGGTTACAATATTTTGTTTGAATTGATAAGGAAAGAAAAAAGTTTCTCTTTTTTATTTAAAATACGCTACTCACTATTTGAGCTTTCAATTCCTTCTCAGCTTGTGTTGGTTCAGCAATGGCATTGAGAATATCCAGAGCCTCTTGAGTTTTGTTGAGACGATACAGACAGTAAGCCTTTTCAAAACGAAGTTCAATGTCTATCCTGGCAAGGGTTAAAATTTATGACAACAATGAGGCAGAAGACTAACAACATTACGTCAATCTTGGTTATATTCCATTTCAAAAAGGTTTCTTTTTACTAAGTAAGCTTTACCCTCTGAATATATACCTAGTAATCCAATTCATCTTTTGTTTTATAATCAATACAAAATATTTTCCAAAAATATAGGATAATAAGCACTTCAATCAAAGATACAATTGAAACACAGCATGTACATAATCTTACATTCAGTTGATAAAGCACCTATACCATTGGTCTTCATAACTTTTTTCAAACTCTATTTAATAAGATGTGCTACATGTACTTATAATAAACTGCATTATTACAATACCATACTCTACTAACAACCCTAATGCTACATACAAAAACAAACTAACATTTTTAACAAAATTTTTGGTGTTAATGGTGTAATTTTTTTATATACTATATACTAATACAGAAAAAGATGCAGACTTAAAATTTTAGTGCCTATGCTACATCACCTTGAACACATTACTCACAGTACTAATACTAGTTGCATTTATAGTCTTCGTAAACTAAATATTTAATTAAATTCCTCATTGGGAGAGTAAAAAGCACATAAAAAGAAATATGTTTTTTTATCTTGTCACAAATTTGATGATGAATCACACTCAAAATTTTTGTCGTTATCCCACACTCGTGGCAAGACGAAAAAAAAACCTTCCTCTATTTCTGTACCAAGCTAAAAATTTACCTAATGATTCTATTCACACAAAAGGACATCATTACCAATTTGTTTGTGGCAAAAAATATAACAATTATTAGTTGTAATCATAAAAACCATTAACGAGGTTAAATGCTATCATCTATTATACCTACCCTTTGTTTGATGCTGATCTGATAACGTCCACTGCTTCACGAAAGCATGACTGATGGATAAGACAAATAACTTTACAGTGAAATGCCTCTTTGTCATCAGGCTTCTCTTGGAGAACTGAGTTAAATGAAAATAACCGGCTAAAAGTTAATTCAAATGAGAAATAAAATAAAATAAATGATGCCTATTTCTTTTATCTTACTCTTATTCGCAATTTTCTGCGCCTTGACGTAGTTTCCGTCCTTTGCAAACTTGTCCAATTCCGTAAAAAGCTGAGGGATACTAGGCGACGTAGCCGCCATATTAGCTTTAAATGTTAAACCGAGCAGGTAATTGGTATGAACAGCGGTAATAGAAGATTTAGAGAGACTGTCTTGTTGTTGTAACAGTCACATACAGTCGACATCAAGTATCTTAAATATTTGAATATACTTTTATTGTTTTTTTTTTAATTCATTCTTGGATGGAAAAAGAGATTTTTAAAATAGTAAAATTGAACTTGAAAAATGATTTATTTTATTTTAGTCTGAAGGAATGTATGTACCAACGTTAAAGAATTAACAAAAGATTATGTCAGGCAAGAGGATACATACAGTTTTCATCACATCGTTAATTTTTTGGGAGTCATGATCACACAAACAATTATTACGTGAACCCAGGAGAGCGAGATGTGACGTTCAACGTATACTACGACCTGTTTCCAAATTCCGTTACTGTCCTAGTCACAGTTCGTGTGTCACGTGCCTTGCGTTACTTAATCAAATCTCCCTGTGACTCAATTGGTCAAAAATTGGATAAATATTTTTAATAAAGACAATGGCTGTTTATTTGAAGTATTAAATAGGACAATAGAAGCGACTGATCTGATTGGTCGAGAAACACGTCATTATAGATATATTGGGTTTGTGCATTCTGTTCATAATTCCCTCGGGAGGGTTACATCGCAAATTCTGCTGTCCTTGGGGAGTTGAACAGCTCACAAACTCTTCACGACAACAAAGAAACCTGCGACTTGTGACCGCGACCCGATTTCAAGACATAAGACCGGCAAACCCGCGAATTAAGGGTCAGATCGACTGTCCGTCGACTAGTAAAACGGGACTCACAACGCACTCGAGTGAAAATATTTGCCGAACTCAGCACGGCAACGCAGGATAAATTTTTAGCCATTTTCAGTTCACTGTTACATTCATGCAAGAACATAGCGTTACTTCACCGCTAAAAGAAGAAAGCGTCGGCTGGATACAACCAGCTACCATGGACAGTAATCAAGTGGCCAGGTTGGGTGTTTTATACTTTGGCGCGTACTAATTTCCTCTGGCAAGTAGTAGCGTAACACTGATAGCGTCGTCTGTATAAGCCACGTGATTGCAAATTCTCGAATACTGAACTCTGTGCATGGAATATTTTCTTTCAACAAAACTTTCCAGACTTAGTTTTACCTGGACTTTTATTTGTTTTATCCAGCGGGTACGGCTTGGCCAGAGCACATTTCGAGAAGCAGCCTCCTTCAAATCTCCGCAAGAGCAACTTTTTCCACTTCGTTTTGGCGTTCTACGATCGCACGGGACAAGCAGTTGAGATCGAGCGCGCTGCTTTCGTGGGTTTCATCGAGCACCTGCCTGTAAGTCTTATTGTAGTTATTTACCCAGTTAAGTAATTAAAAAAAGTAAGTGTTTAGGCAACTTTCTTGTCTAGATGTGACTAGTTTTGCTTGTTTCTTGGTCACTTAGGATCAGAAGAACGTTCGAAATGGTGCATCTTACCGGCTACAACTTCTCTATAATAATGGTGAGTGGTTCGTGTTCACTTGTCCATGTGTGTGTACATTTGACGGACGATGAAGTGTGTATGAGTGAACTTGTTATCAAATTAAGACAGACCCCGGTGGGAATATGAAAGTCACTTGTGGACTGATAACCGTCGACAAGGGAAAAGTGATCCGCAGTCTTTAGAGACATGTTTTGGTTCCAGTGTCCTAACCACGTCTTCATCGCGTTTCTTGGCAGCTGTTCATCTAACGGAATGCGACAATATTCGCGCTGTAGTATTTACTTAAGTTGCTGAGGTAGTTGCTTCTCTAAACAAACTGTACAAGTTGTTTGCTATGCCTTAGGGGTCAGTTTCAATCGCTGATAAATGTCTGGCGAAAAAAAACCCTTTGGACCAACATGAAAAACAGTCCTAAAGAGAAACGGGTCAAAGTGCGTCGAAATTCACAAACGCGCGTAGGGCTAAGTGCAAAGGAAACTTTATTTTACTTGATTTCTTTGACCCATTATTTTTCCTTCTCTTTTTCGTAGGCATTAGAAGTGAGCAAGATGTATTTATTCGCCTTGTTAACTCGGCGACAAAGCAAGTAAGAAGTGAAATTTGTGTTGCGTTCATGTTTGAAAAAAGAAATTACCATACATTTTACTTCCCAACTTATGAAGCTAATTAGCATTCTTTTCCAGCTACACTAATGAGTTGTTTTCATGCTACCAAAGCGCTGACAATAGACGACTTGAAAGTTCAATTACCTATTGACCTGAAGTCGTTTCCGTTCTTCATATTTTTCTATCATAATTCAACGAGGAAAACGTTAGATTAGACCTTGAAAAATACGGAAAAAACCTTTACGTGAGTTGGACTGCTAAACAGTTTTTTTTTCTTCCTTAGTGATGAGTTTTATTTTCAGATTTGAGCAAGAGATCTTGCTAGAGCAAATGTTTTGGTGACCATAGTTACATTTTGTGTTTAAAAGACTGAAAGGTTAGATTAATACCGAAGTTGATCAGTTAGAAAGAAAAAGATGTTATACATAATCTTTTTTTAATAATAAAATTAAAGCTAAAATGTTTTGTTTCCCTCAGCCTATTGTATATGAAGGGCAGGACAAAAACCCTGAGATGTGTCGGGTTCTCATGACACATGAAGTTATGTGCAGGTAATTTTTCCAACATTTCCTTGGGTTAGGATGATTTTAGAATTTGGGGGACATTTTGAAAGTTCTGGACCTTCCCCGGACGTCATTCATTAGCTAAAAATCTAAGTGTGGTGTTGAATGCTAATTACTAAGAATCTTTTGTCTTTTCCTTTTTTAAGCCGATGCTGTGAAAAGAAATCATGCGGCAATAAAAATGAAACACCATCAGATCCTGTTATAGTAGACAGGTACTGTTGACTAGTAACAATGTAATAGAATTATGTTCCCATGTGGTGCTTAAAGCTGAAATCTTCCCTAAGGGAAAAGTGGACCATGTTCCACTTCTAGGCCTTAGGAAGGTATTTTTATTCCTATTGTTAAGCTATTGAATTCAAAAGATTACATGCAGAGGTGTGAAAGATGCTCTAATTGTTGTCAGCTTTTGTTTGCTTTTAACAAATACCTTCGTGAAATGTTGTTTTGTCATAATAAATGATGCTATCTTGGAAACTGTTTTAATTCTCTCAGGAATGGTATCTACTTGTTGATCATTTTTTGAGAAAACATAGTAAAAACTGAGCTAAAAGTTTTCTCCATTTTTTTTTTGAAGGAATAACATATTTAAGTTACACCTTAGTAATTAAAACCTGGTTAACTTAAATAATTAGCCTTGATAAACTTTGTTGACAATTAACATTTGAAAAGAAATTCCTGAGCTAATCTGATTTTTTGTCACTGTAGAAACAATTGGCTATTGTTTATATTTCAATTTAAGATATTTGTGTGTTATATTGCCTGTCTGTTTCCATGGATATTCATATTTAATCAACCTGCTATTGTATGAACTCCAGGCTAGAGTGTTGAAGCTATTTATACCCACATATACTTGATATTGGTTTGACAAGGAAAAGCAGCTCTGCTAACCAAGCTTGTAAAAACTGTGCTAACAGAATATTTTGTATTAGTTCATTGATGATGATGAAATATTGTAGTGTTTTAAATAAATAGTATCTGAAGTGTTAAAAATCAATATTTATGTGGGTGTATCCACCCACATTTAATAACTGACAGAGGTTATTTCACAAAAAGCATTTCCCTGGCATTTCCTTTCTATTGATAACTGACAACAATATGAACTCATCATTGTCATTATCCTCATGTTGCATACGTGACATAAGGCCCTACCATGCTAGGTCAGAGGTCTTTTATTTCAATAGAAAATAGTTTTTAATTAAAAATAAATTAATGTGAAGATGTTTGTCCATTGTTATAGGGTTACTGGAATAGTTGTAGTTGAAAGCAACAAAAGTCAGTGAATTACCATGAATGGTGACTAAATAGTTTGTTGCACTTTTTTTTTTTGGCTTGGAATGATGAAAAATGAGCAATTTGCGCTGGATTTACACCAAAAATTTCTGTAACCATTCCAGGAATAGATGGTTAAAATCATTTTTTTATACTATATCATTTCACTGTTGTAGTACATACTAAAACAACTATTCACCTGTAGTGGGGGTAAGTAGCTGGTTGTACACTGTAAAAACTTACCTCACCACTCCAGGGTACAGTAAACGTCAAACACCAGCCACCTGCACCTGGGTAAATAATTTTAATTTAACAAAGGGAGTTGGTTTAGTTAGTCATTTGCTTTGTTAAAGATCTAAAAGTTCAAATGTTTTGTATCTTTACAGATTCTTTTTAAAATTTTTCCTGAAATGCAATCAAAATTGTTTAAAAAATGCTGGAAATCCAAGGGACATGAGACGTTTCCAGGTAAAAAGAGCATTGACCTTAGATTTCAAATATTGCTTCCTTTTCTTGAGTGACCAAATGCAAATTACTGGTTCATGGGTGAAAAGGTTCTTGTCAGGAAATATTAAAAAACAATTCATTTTTCCTTCAGGTGCATGTTTCTTCCTCTCCTGATCCTGTTGCTGGAATGTTAGCTTGCTCTGATAACATGTTTGTGCATAACAATTCCAAACACGGTAGGAAAAGCCGCAAAGTGGAGTCTGCATATGGTAGGTTTTTATTTAAATGCGATGAAATAAAGGAAATGAATCGAAATATTAACAACATGCTGAGTTTTATCAGTAATCATGCAAAAACATTGTCAGTGGTCATTTTTATGTTACAAATGTTGAGTGTCCTTTCTAATATAATGTTACTAATAGTTCTTAAATATCTCTTTGTATTTTGCAGCTTATCCATGTATCAAGGCTATTTGTCCCAATGAGGGATGGACAACTGGAGGAACAAATGTTGTAGTAATAGGAGAAAACTTTTTTGATGGTCTACAAGTGGTGTTTGGCTCACTAATTGTTTGGAGTGAGGTAATATATGATTCATTTGGTGGGATTCTAAGGGGTGGGGGGATTTTATTATAAGTTTGAAAAGTATTATCATCAAGTCATGCTGATGAACAAAGCTTTCAATTGTTATCTGTGGAAATATGACCTTTTTTTTTAGCTCTGTTCAGGGGTTTTGTTTAAGGTTTGTTGACATCACTTCGCATTGATTAAGTTTTTGCCTATAAAAGTAAAGCCTTTATATGGGCCCAAGTGGCCCATGGGGCTGGTGCTTAACTTTGGTTTTCTTAGCATGAAGCGGCTAGGAGTATTGCTACTCCCCCCTGGATGGGATGCTAGTCCATCACAGGGTTAAAGTTTTTGCCTATGCTAATGATTAAAATAGCTTTAAAAGCATTTTGTTGAGTAGTCAAGGTTCAAGATTTCTCAAGCTTAATTAGCTTCATGATTGTGTCTACAGTCATATGTTAAAAAAAATTAATCTGACCGCAGACATTAATCCTGTTTGTTTATTGGAAAAAAGGAGGGAAATTTCAAGTTTTCAAAGTGTTTGAGAGGGGGAAGTTGGGGTGAAACAATTGGTAGAAAACACAGGAAGTAGTTGGACAGTGAGACTAGCTTACAGTATAATGTGCCTTGTGGCTTATTAAGCCCCCTGTAAGTGGGGGATTTCTTTGCCTTGATCTTAAGTTGAATTATTGTTGCCTTTCCTATGGATGAAGTTTATCACCCCTAATGCAATCCGTGTCCAAGCACCACCCAGACCCATCCCAGGCATGGTAGAAGTAACACTTATGTACAGAAACAAGCAGTTCTGCAAGACAGCCCCTGGAAGATTCATGTACTCAGGTAAGAAACTGTAAAATATGAAGTGCTTGTAGTCTTTATTTAATTTCCTTCTTTGTGGCCGGTCAGATGGATAATGAAGTGCAAAAAATTGCAAATCAGATTTCCAATGTTTATTAGCCAAATTTAACCATCAGTTACCTGTAGATGGCTTAGATTTTCAGCTTGCTTATTTTACTATTTCATGGCACCTACATCTATGAATGTTTTTGCCATTGTCAAAGAAAACTTTGCAAGAAGTCATCATACTGTTTAAGTTTTTATATTGTTTTTATATTGGTTAATCAGTGATTAATGCTGTCACTCTATCCTTTGATTACAGCTCTTTGTGAACCAACCATTGACTATGGCTTCCAAAGACTGACAAAGCTGATCCCAAGACACCCTGGTGATCCTGAAAAGTTACCTAAGGTAAATTATATATGAGATATGTTGGTTTTCCTTCTATAAGATAGGATGAACATTAAAAAATTTCTTTAAATAGGACTTGAAAATTCTCATTTTATTACAAAACAAGGTTCTCTACAGGAGTGAGCAATCTAGAATTTTCTTCAACTGAGAGAACTTAAAAATTTGATTTGCATATCACTATTTGCAGTTATTACCATTTCTGTTGTTAAGTTACTTTTGATCTTTGTGAGAATCCACCTTGTACTTTCTCTACAGATTATCTCTCATCTGTTGAATTATTTTTCTAGGAAATCATTTTAAAGAGAGCAGCTGATCTTGCTGAAGCTGTGTGTTACAACCTTCCTCGCACCCCAACTCAAATTCATGGGTCACAGTATCCACCCCCTGGGGGGCCACCACCCACCACTGCTGGTGGCACACATCCAATGATGATAGGACAGCACCTGACAGCCCTGTCCCCTGAAGGAATTACAAATGGAAGTACCTTCGTGACCATTACAAATCCAGAGGCTCCAGTCTATGGCAACACAAACCCTGGCAGCCAACAGCAGAGAATAGCAACTTCTGGGGCACACACTGATGCCAATAATAATGAAGTTATTGTCTCATCAGGTACTGATAACAACAGTCAAGGTTTTTCATGGAGGGTGAGGTTGAGGTGGTGGTTGCTAAAAATATTGGATGGTTTGGGTATAAAAATATGTAGTATAATAAGCCAATAATATCACATTGAGGACAAGTATATCCATGAACTTTGTGAGTAGAGAGTTGTTGGAAAAGTGAGCAAGATTGTACTTTGTTGTGTTTTGCGTTGAGGCTCTTACTTTGAGGCCTTTGTTGTATGCCTTTGAGGCTTGTAACATTGGAGGCCATATCTCAAAGATGTGAAGTATCCAATACTATGTATTGTGTTTGTGTCCATTAGGTTTAGTTAGATGTGGAGGACACAATATGTCATTTCTACCTGGTTTCACTTGTTCAGCAATCTCATATCTGTTTTCCTCCTCAGATGAATTGTTCTCCGTAATAGACCAAGTTGAACAATATAGATGGTTAATAAATTTTTTTACACTCTTAGGTAGCAGCACTCCAACTGCAAGGCATGTCAATTTGCCACCTGGTTATCCCCATGGTGGATCTCTGGCAAGTGAAGCACATGTTGTCTCCAATTCTGATGTGCCTGTAACACCCTCGGCAGCAATCAGCATGTCAAGTGCTGTAAATGGTATCAATGCATACCCTGGGGGACTTCCACCATCGATTACATTACACAACATGGCAGTTCCTTCATCACCAAGTTTCCTCAATGGTGCCACATGTAAGTTAGAGAGTTTCACAACGTCAAGTTAACTCTATTGATAACTCTATTTTATTGGTTATTGCTACACTTTTTTCACCGCACTATTTATTACTGGTAACTTGTAGAAATCTGTTTAACCATCTGATGATTATTTGATTTATGCCCATGTTTGGCCCATGGAAAGATTGTTTATTAGAGACTGGGTACTTGCTTCTCAATAACATTTTCACTCCCTTGATCTCATTAGTATTTGTCCTTCCTATCTGCCATACAATTCTTAAATGTTAGTTTGGAGATTTTGGTATTGGATCAACTGATAATCCCCTAATTTATATTTTTCTTTATTTTCACTGCTTGTCTGCTTGATACTGTATTGATATTGTGAGGAGAAATTCTGTCTTGGTCAATAGTTGGAGATCTTTTCTTAAATTCTTTACATCATTTTAAAGCCAAAAACAAAGCAGAACTTTGGAGGAGCTGATGATCCTTGGAACAAAATGTGCCTTCACTTGGAAATACCAATTAAGACAAATTATAAGTAAATGAATATAAATCTATGCTTGTCAACCAAGCTGCATTTTGTTTTACTCAATCTTGCATTGTGTTTAATGTTATAGTTGTTCCCCAATCTCCATCACTTCCTCCAACACCCAGCAGTGTACCACCCAGTGGAAATGCAGGAATGTTTGCCTTTCCACCAAACATGATTCAGGCTGTCAAACAAAAGAGTGCATTTAATCCTGTGATGAGACCACCCAATGTGTCTGAGGGAAGTACACCCACTGGCTCACATGGAAACTCTGCTGTTATTGTGCCAGGTGAGTGAGAAGAAAATGAAATTGTTTGAATTAGTGCTCATTTTTCTTAATAATAGATGAAATACTTTAGATGACAAGAAATGAATTTATTCTCCTAGGTAAAATGTTACTTTAACCCTTCAACACCTGAGAATTGCTAGTATCTACATTAAATTTCTCCCAACTTTATCATCCCTGAATGATACATTCAGGTCATGAGAATAAAGGAAATGATCACCAACTAAAGAACCTGTTGACTGGTTACGTAAATTCGTCTCGTCGGCACCTAGGATAATGTGTAGAGAACAATATGGAGATTATGCATACTGATGTTAGGGTTAGTGTCAAGTGTTGATAAAAGCCATTTCAGCAGGAAATAAGTCAGTGTTTGATAAGGCTGGAACTGTGCACCCTTGTTAAATGCTACTTCAAACGTAGGTACAAAACCAACGTTGGGAGTAAGGAAGATTTTAGGAAGTTCTTTGAATCTAACCCTAAACTGAATTTCCGTTTCTGAGTTAGTCATCGCGAATATTTAAGAATTTGTTCATGCTTAGCGTGCGGATATCGAGTTATGGATGCAAGCGGGAAGTTTGGAGAGCGCGAAAAATGCGTAAGAGTAGCTCGAGGCGCAGCCGAGAACAACTCTAGCTCTAACTCAATATACGTACAGCTAAAAGCATGAGCAAATTCTTTTATATAACAGAAAAAGATTTTCCATCGGGTTGAAAATGTTACGAAACAATTGGTTCATACGTCAGCTGTGCGTTCATCGAGATATGAAGCACGCGGGAAGTTTGGAGAGCATGAAAGATGTGTAAGAGTAGCTCGAGGCGTAGCCGAGAGCAACTCTAGCTTCTTGACTCAAGAAGCTAGAGTTAGCATTCTCTCTAGCTTCTCTAACTCTAGCTTCTTGACTCAAGAAGCTAGAGTTGCTCTCGGCTACGCCTCGAGCAACTCTTACGCATCTTTCGTGCTCTCCAATTGGAGAATTGGTTCAATTGGTTCATACGTCAGCGTGCGTTCATCGAGATATGAAGCACGCGGGAAGTTTGGAGAACACGAAAGATGCGTAAGAGTTCGAGGCGTAGCCGAGAACAACTCTAGGTTCTTGAGTGACGTCTTAAACATTGCAGTTTGGAGAAGTTTGGAGAACACGAAAGATGCGTAAGAGTTGCTCGAGGCGTAGCCGAGAGCAACTCTAGGTTCTTGAGCGACGTCTTAAACATTGCTTTTTGCTATGGTTTATCTGTTTATACTAGAATGGCCGAATATCGACTGCTTACGCGTTATCGTGGTTTCTTCATATTCTACAGGTATGCCTTCCTCCTTTGGTGGCACATTTGCAATTCCTGTAAGTGCTGCAGTCCAGTCCAAGCCAGCGAGCCATGTGGGAGCAACCTCTTAAGTCACCGCATTACAAGCACAAGCACAAGCACATCACGCACACGGGGTCAGAACATTGACTGCAGTGAACAATTGCTCAGGAGGCTTCGCTGGAGAAATAGAATCGGCATTATTATGTACTTAGAGAAGATCACACTGTTGAACAATCGAAAAATTGCCTTGAATCAACGAAATGCTTTGTGCGTTTACATAGCCGCCGAAGTAACTGGTGACTCTTAATTTCTTTGTTCACAGAGTCTATGAAATTCTAATTTAACATCCTGAGGAGGCTTTGCCATTAAGGAAGATAAAACGTCGCCTTGTTTTATCCAGCAGTCCACTTTAGTATGTGTATATATATATATTTTTTTTCATTGAATTTGTTTGTTTTACACAAGTTTTCTACAAACGTACTCTATTTTGGAGTCTGGGAAATAATCGAATTTTTTAATATAAATTTAAGATATATTTTTTCAGGCTTTTTCTTTTGAGAGAAAAATTATAAATATTCATTGAATGCGGACACAATTAGTGTCGTATTATTTTCCTAAAAGTTAATATATTTCTTGTACTATACGTATTTTTCAAGCAATATTGGACGGTTTCGAACATTTTTGAGAAGCAGTTGGAATAATGCTTGAGTCGTACAACTTAACTTATTTTTCTATAAACGAAACGCTATTTCTATAATGGATACAGACTAGAATAATTTCACATTGACCGTAAACGATATTTATTTTTTCCTAGTTTGTAAGATGATAATTATTTAGAATGGGTTGTAAGTATTTTAATCGGTAAATCGTAGATTTCCCTTCGATTTACTTAAATATGTATGGAACAATTAAGCCAAATGCAAAACAAGAAGCATACAGCAACCACAACATCCACTGCAGCATATTAGAAAAGTGGTCGAATTGGAATAATTTTCTTGGAGAATATTCCGTAGCACAAAACTTCGTGTCACACAATTTTGTCACATAATTCATCTTTAACACTATGTCACGCAGAAGACTGTTATGTGACAGTCTTGTGAAGGCCATGTGCAAGTTCATTGATACGCTCTAAATATCTACCATAAACTGTAAACGTTCATCGAATCATAACCAGTTCCTATCAATTGCAACATGTTTAAAACAGGTTTATCTGTTTCATCCTGTAATAGCCGAGTATTTTCCACGTGTTCTCGAGAACGTGTAGATATATTTTTGGTGTGAGACGTTTTTTTTTTAACTAATGGTGTGAAATTAAATATATATTTTCAAACTCATTGTGTCGCTTTTTGAAGTCCACACTGCCATTAACCTTTAATTTTTGAGCATCGAAAATCATCAACTCTTACTGGGTTTTGTTTGTCTCCAATCGGACTCAAGCGTCCGAAACCGAACGAAAGTGTCCTAAATCGGAAATATTTTCTCTTTGTGTGTTCGTGCGAGGTGTTATCTTTGCAGATGGCATTTTCATGGTTTTTTTTTTCTGATTATCAAATGAAGCACGAGGCGACGTGCTTTTACGTGCTTTTAAGGGGGATATGTTTCCGGAGAAACAACTATGGTACTGCTTCAGCGGGGCTGTTATCAACTTGGTTGATGAAGAAAATTGGCCATCGTAAAGATGTTGCTAAGCTTTGAAAACTCTACGGTGGCCAATTCAAAATATTCAACTCGGTTGATAAAACTAAATTATTTTAAAACCTGAAGCAGTCTTTATTTTTTCCAAATCCTTGATCCCTGCGCGGCTTCTGTTTCGCTCGGACTACGATTCACCCCAGCCTCGAACAAGCGGGATCGGAGCGAGAGATAACCTTATCGGGTCGGGACCTATCGGGTGAATGGATCTTTTTTGAATGGGCTGTGCACACGATACCTGTGAATGGTCCTTCGTGTCCATGCCCTTAAGGACTTACCTCTGACAAAGCCAAAACATTTCGTTCGGCACAATGACCTGATGGATGGGGAAAAGAATGAATGCCTTGCGGTATTGTTTTGTAATTTATATTCTCTCAGGATCTATCCTCTGTGAATTAAGCAAATGTACACTGAATCCTGACCACACTGAGGAGATCTGTAACGGTGGAGGTTCTTTCTATCGTATCGAAAGCTGTCGCGAGAGGTGAGATATTTCGCGTAAAGTTTGTCGAATTGTCTTATCTGTTTCCTCAAACTCGTCAAACATCGAAATTTTTTAATTTTTATTTTTTATAAAAAAAAGAGTAAGTAGAAACATGGTTAGTGTGCTAGTGATTTTTGATACGTATGTGTTCCTTATTTAATTTATCTAAGAGCTTCGGTTGTGAAATTCGATTGCGAATTGAATAATTTTTGTTGACTTTTGGTTATATTTATATACAACAACTTGGGTGATAAATGTGTCGAAGATGAGCATTTTTGAATGGTCCTACTCAAAACAGTGTTTTGAAGTATTGTCAGAGTGGTCTAAAATGGACATCCTTATCGAAAAAGTAAAACTTTTCGCCTCTTTCTTCGCCATAGAAAAGAACGTGACTTGAAAAGTGGATAGTTATGTATGAGCATAGAAGATTTCCATAATACATCCATTTGATAACCAGCTGGTTTTCTAAAGAAGAGTTGTAACAGAAAATACCGTCATAAAAATTTTTTGAAAGTGTAGATGTGAGAATTTATGATCATGGATACTGATGACCTGTTTAACAAAATTTATTTTTAAGGGCAATTTATTGAAGAATAAATTACTTACCACGATTAGCATTTCATTTCTGTGATGACTGTACTTTTTATATCATGGAGAAAAAGGAATAGACTTTAGCTCAGATGTTTACACGGTTCAGCTGGCATCTGCTCATTTCCTGTTAGGATATGGAATATACCAGGGTATAATGCTAGGGGGTTTTTTGCCTGTCATTTTGTAATAAATGTTTTGAACTGTATGACATGTGTTTATCACATGGTTTTAAGGTTTGGTTAAGGAGCATAGCAATAAAGAATACCACAAATTACAGGAACTAGACAGAAGTTACCATTAGATTTACATGGTTCTTACTTATATTTTGCCTTTTGGCTTAATGAAAGAATCAAATTATGTAGCTACACAATTGTATTAAGGGCTGGATTTCAGATGTCTGGAAAACTATATTTTGCTGACATATCAGGAGACTGTCAAATGTTTGTCTTTCGGATTACAGATGCCACATTATTTGTGACACAGGAGTAGTCAGAAGCCAAGCATTATAAGATGATTGGTAAAAAGCTAAAACTATCTTTGTGGTCTGGATAGGAAAAATAGAAGTTTTCCTATATCTTAAGTAAATGATTGCTGCTGATTTTCATGGAAATCTGGGATGCATTGGGAAAATAGAAATGGTTCCTGATTTTTCCTAACGTGTCAGGGGTCATTGCAAACAATTGGAATGTTTAGGGGTTGAGTCTTTAGTCAGAAAACTCTGGGATGGCCAGAAAACAGAGAAATCCCCAACCATCTGGGATTGTCCCCAACTTAAAAACCAACCTAAGTAAATTTCAAAGTGGTTCTAACTTTGATTTTGAATTTTTCTTTAGGCATGGAGAATCAGATGTCAATATACCTGTAACACCAAAACCATCCAGGTCTGCTTGGCTCATTGAGACAGATGAGTAAGAAACAAAGCCATTCTTCTCACAAGTTATATTTGTTAGATGACAGTCAGTGACAAAAGTCTTGGAAATGTTGAATGAAATTTTTTAATCAGATTGTGATGACAATGTTTGTTAAAAAAAAATAAACTGAAACTTAAAACTTTGCACTTTTTCAGACCCAAAAACAACCGATCTGTGATACTGAATATAATTAAGTTTTCACGACTGTGTGGTAATATGAAATTGTATATTTATGATGGAACCTCAGTACGATCACCACTTATTGCCATATACAGGTAAGATGTTATTCTGTTAATACAACCAGTTTGGAGAATATTGGGTGTCAATTTTGATAATCATGGAAATTGTTTTGTGATCATAATGGATCAATCACTTTATAGCTTCAACATCCCTTCCCTGGGCAACCCCCTGGGCATTTGATCTCTAATAGATTGGTTTGTTCAAATTCCTGCCTCCCAAGGCAAAAGATGTGTTCAAGTGCCCCACCTAATTTTTTTGTGACCAAGCTTTAAAACCTAGACCTTATGGACCTTATAGACCTTTTCTTCGGAACCGTTTGCTTGCAAAAGTGAGCTATATGTATTTACTTTAAAACAGATACAATGCATCTACTCTGCTGGAAAAACGTCACACTGCCAGTTCAAATTCCCCACCCAAACCAGGCAAGGTTCAAACTCTCCACCTGCTGGGCACAGATGATGGTCAAATGCATGTTGGTTGTCTGAGGGGAAGGGGGATTGCTGAAGCTTCAAATCGATCAGCACATAAAGTCATAGTAACAAGTGTGGTTTGAATCACTGATAAAATTTTATTGTGTGGGCACCAAGCTGTGATGCGAACCCAGTTACTTGTGAAACTCAGATAGTTCTGAACACTTTTTATTGGATTCTGACTGGTTAATTGGGAACTCACCACTCACAGTAAAGTTCAAGCCAGGCAAACAAATCTTGAGATGGCAAATTGATAGTTGCTGTTTGCAGTTTAGTGTTCTTACATGCTTGTTTGGCTTTTCCTCTGAAACACATAAACATTTGTGAAATATTTCAAGGGTCCTAGTTGTTTGACTTTTGTTGTAAGTGCTCATCTGTTTGATAATCCTTTCGGGTGAGTCAGCGGGAAGCCTTATCATGGACTCATCTTGGTTACATGTATTTTCATTTGGGACTTACAGCAAGTAAGTGAAATCTGGGTCATTGAATATATATAGGCAGATTATTTACACAAAGTCTAACCCAAACCATGGTTTTATGCAGGCAGTGGGCCTCAGGTATGCTCTTTAAGAGGGTTGAATTGATTAAATTAATGTCTGTTAGTTTTTAGCCTTATTGACACTGTTCCCAAAAACAAATGTTCAGATAAAAGGTTTGGCTAAATTTAAAAGATAGTTTAGAACCAAGTTTCATTGAAGAATGGCTAAACTTTGTTCAAGTAGCAAGCTCCATGTTTTCAAATGGGAAGCATACAAATTAACATGTAGCTTTTGAATTATTTTCAGTAACCTTATCAAAGCCAGGACCAGAGAAAAGCCTAGTCCACTTCTTCAAGCAACATCTGGATCTGCACTTATTGTTCTCAGTAGAAGAAATGACAAGATAGATGATTGTTGCTTTGTCATTAAGTACAGGTAAGGCATAAAGTTCATTTCTATACTTTGCACACCACAAGTTAAAAAGGAAATTGATTTGGCACTTAATTTCTTCTTTAAATATTTAGATACACCACAATAACAAAATTGTTGATTGGCTTTTCAACTGTAGAATGTACATTTTATCGAAATTAAATTAAGTGCAGTTTTCAACGTTCCCCATTGAAACTTATTTCCTAATTATAATCTCAATAACTTTGCTAATTTATCATGCTATTGTATTATACTTATTGATTTTCATTCAAATTAAGAATGTGTCCTTCCAAAACAAATGAAGAAAACTATTGCCAGTACTGGTTATAACAGATAGTGCTTTGGAACTTATAAGCCATTGCTTCTTCTTATTTCACCTCTTTCAATGTTGTAGTTTTGAGGAGAAGTGCCCCATAGAGTGTGGCAGGCATGGTCTATGTTCAAAAGGGATTTGTAATTGTAGTGCTGGGTGGACGTCCAGAAACTGCAGCTTACCAACATGTCCAGTTGTATGTAATAATGGCTCATGTGATGTCAAGACCAGGAAGTGTAACTGTGCCAGTGGATATTCAGGTTTGTGAAAATTCTGAAATTATGCCCTCTTATCCTCACTTACCAGTATATAGACCCTTAGAAGTGTTATAGTGCTAACTCATGCTATATGCTTGAAGCATATTGATCATTAGTAACAGTTGTTTATATTAGTATAAATTGATAAATATTAAATGCAAATGTAACAATAATAATCATAACATATCACTTTACTTCAGCTGCAAGTTCCCTTCAAGTTTAGCTGGGAGGTTTAAATCCTTTCAACTTTTGTTTTCCATTCCTTCCTGATTGAAATAGACCTTTTGGAGCTCAA